AACATGGACTGTAACCATTCGTGACCCTATGGGTAAGACATTCGACATGGTAGTTGCGACTGAAACACACGCTAACTCTTTCATCTACAGGCATGTTTGGAAGTCTTGTTGAAGCAATCGGTATGGCGGTCATCACAGGATGGATCTTCTTGCAGCTCGATGGTTCACTATCTGGTATCCGATCTCGACAGGGAGCCCTGTATAACGCAGCCGCGCTCCAAGGGTACCTGATCTTACTCTATGAGACATACCGACTTACAACGGATATCCAACTATTCGACGAAGAGGCGCGACAAGGTGTAGTCAGCATACCAGCATTTCTTATCTCCAGACGATTGGCCCGAATCTTAATCGAGGACATACCGGTACCTCTCATCTTCTCGCTGATCTATTACTTCTTCTGTGGCTTTCGTGCAGATGGAGGTCAGTTCCTCACGTTCTTCGGTATCATACTGCTGCATCAGTATATTGCGGTGTGCTTCGCTATGACCTGTGTCGCTTGCTCAAGACACTTCGCCGGAGCGAGTCTGGTAGCTAATCTCGCATATACCCTTCAATCGATGGCATGCGGTTACTTTATTCAGTCGAACACGATCCCCATCTACGTACGCTGGACAAAGTGGATAGCTTATGTCTTCTATGCTTTTGGAGCTTTGTGCGCCAATGAGTTCACAGGCTCGTTTTATGACTGCCCGTTGGAGGGTGGGCGGTCAAATCCAGCCTGCAAAGAATACGACGGTGACTTTATCATGGACTCTCTTGGTTTTCCAGACAACTGGGTTTGGAGGCCTATACTTGCCCTTCTTGGGTTCGCCATCGCCTTTTATATAGGTGCAGGAGTGTTGCTCAAGTTCTGGAACGCCGAGATTGCGATGGCTCGCGCGAGACCGTCCAATATGGACGCCTCTGCTGGTAAAGAGAAGATGAGCGAGCGTGTGGCGGACAATGTCAGAACAATCGACATTCGGCTGGAGGGCTATGGTATGGATGTTGAAAAACGCTCATTACGGAAGCACTGGACGAAGACTATACTCAAGCCGCTTACTGCCGACTTTTTCCCTGGGTCATTGAATGTCATCATGGGACCTTCAGGTTCTGGGAAAACGTCATTGCTGAATAGCATGGCAATGAGACTCAAAGACGATACATCGACGCGTTACAAGCAGTATGGCTCGATGAGCTACAACGGCCTGATACCAGCTCAAGAAGTCGTTCACTCGATCTGTTCCTTCGTCACGCAAGATGACGATGCATTACTAGCATCATTGACAGTGCGGGAAACCCTTCGTTATGCAGCCGGTCTACGCCTTCCAAAATGGATGTCGAGAGATCAGAAAACCCAGAAAGCCGAAGAAATCTTGCTGAAGATGGGTCTCAAGGACTGTGCAGACAACCTCATTGGCAACGACATTATCAAGGGTATCAGTGGCGGCGAAAAGCGCCGTGTCACGATTGCCGTCCAAATCCTGACGGAGCCGCGTGTTCTGTTGCTTGACGAACCACTGTCAGGCTTGGATGCATTCACGGCGCTATCCATTATGGATGTACTCAGTGGTCTGGCCCAGGAAGGTCGCACACTGATCGTCACGATCCATCAACCGCGTAGCGATCTCTTCGCTCATTTTGGCAACATTCTGCTTCTTGCTCGCGGTGGACATCCCATTTATGCTGGTCCCGCTGACAGCATGTTAACTCATTTCGCCGGCCTAGGCTACGAATGCCCGCGTCATGTCAATCCAGCTGACTTCGCTCTCGATTTAATTACTGTTGACCTTCAGCATGAGAGACGTGAGGCGGCCAGTCGAAAGAAGGTACGCAAGTTGGTCGAGTCATGGAATGCTAGTGTTTACCCTGTTGCTCGGATTGGGTCGATAACGACACCAGCGGAACTGGGAAGTATGGCACGAGAACCATCATCCTTCGCTTCAGCATATTCGATTCTGATTCGACGTGCGACGAAGAACATGTTTCGTCAGCCAGACATTCTAATTGCGCGCGTCATGCAAGTGGTGGGATTGGGCATCGTGCTTGCGCTCTACTTTGCACCACTCAAGACCGATTACTTCTCTGTTCAGAACAGGCTCGGATTTCTTGTAGAGATCGCACCACTCTACTTTGTTGGCAGTATGTATAACCTGCTGTTATCTTTCTTCGTCAAACTAATTTCAAATAGTGCTAAACAACATCGCCGTGTATCCTATCGAAAGAGACGTCTTCTACCGAGATTACGACGATCGCATTTATGGTGTCGAAGCGTTCTTCCTCACATATATCTCCATCACCACTCCATTCGAGATTATAAGCTGCCTCGTCTTCTCAGTGCTCGCCGTTTTCGCCGTTGGCTTAGAACGCAATGCGCAAACGTATTTCATCATAACCTTCAACGCCTTCTGCATCACCAGCTGTGGCGAGAGTCTTGGAATAGCTTTCAACACGCTGTTTACACACACCGGCTTCTCGGTGAACTGTATGTCGGTCTTTCTCAGTGTTGCTCAGGTTATGGGTGGTGTGTTGTCACTCGACGTTCCGGATTTCCTGCAAGCTTGGAACCATCTTTCACCTGTGAAGTGGGCGGTCGGGAATATGGCGCCGTATACGCTTCGTGGACTCACATTCACGTGTGAAGACTGGCAGAGGGTCAACGGAGAATGCCCCATTCAGACTGGAGAGCAAGTGCTTGACTTGTATAAACTGAATAAGAACCCGGAGATGAACCTTATGGCTTTGGGTATATGCGCTATCGTATATCGATTCCTGGCGTATGTTGTGCTCAAGGTAGTCAAGGAACGCTGGCTTGGGAAGTTATGGCGGAAGTTGGGTGGTGGGAAAAAGAGACAGACGACAGAGGCACCTCAAACATAATAGTTGGCACGTTCTCACGCATCACGAGAAGTAGTATAGATCTCCGAAGCTTGGTACCTGTGAATCTAACAGTATCTCCAACGCACCTTTCGCGCTTGTCCTTCACTGAAACGGGCACATGGAAGTAAGCCTCTCTAACCCCATTGTGGACGAAGTCCAGAGCTCGATTTAGTTTACTTGATCAACTCCAACGTCCGTCATCAAGGTACATATCGTGAGCCCTAGGATGGAGAAAAACCTATTCAGTATTTGATACGCAATCCAGCACTTAGATACGGTGACCCCAAAGATGAAGAGAATTGCCGTTCCCCCTATTCCTTGTATTGTCCCATCCAGCATCTTTCAAAGTCAATACCCTAGAGACAGCATCATTGTACTTGAACGTCTGACCCTTTTCCCATAATCCATTGGCTAACTCGATACACTCAGTAACCGCGCAGTTCTCCAACTCATCAGCTGGTGTACCATCATTGCAGATCTGAATGAGACGATTGAGACCCGTAGTGCTTGCTGCAGCAAGCGGCTCTAGAGTAAGTGGTGTGCCTGGAGAAAGCCAAGGGCAGATATTGCCTGTGATGCGATAGAAGATGGTGTGTTCGGCCGACTCAACCAGCATGACGCCCGGCGGGATACCACCGGAAATCTGACTAACGTCTTGCTGTTCAGGCTGAGCTGGGTGGCCGTGGTTTCCTTCAATGAACATGGGTGCTGGACGGAAGTGTTGTGAGCCTGCTACACCAGGGCCCATCATGCCTGGCATCATGCCACCGCCCATCATCATACCAGGCATCATTCCACCGACTCCAACTCCTCCTACCGCAGGTACGTTTCCGAATGCGAGACCTCCACCCGCCCATAACGGTGCAGCAGGAGCAAAAGGAGGGATAACCCCGGCGATGGCGCCAGGTGGTGGTGGTGGGAACGGAACACCGTTGGCATTCATACCAAAGCCTATACCGTGATGAGCACCCGGAAGAAAGTTGCCTGCGCGGACGGGAGCGAGTGGTCCACCGCCAGGCCCCATGTAACCGCCCATTATGCCGCCCATCATAAATGGGTCCATGATGCCGACGGGTGGAAAAACAGGTGGAAACGCACCTATGCTGACACCACCGAATGCTGGGGCGCCGATACCGATGGATAGGGGAGGACCGTAAACAGGGGCGTGTTGTTGTTCTACGACAACTTGAGCTCCTCCTGCAGCTGCAATCGGATGTTGTGCTTGAGGTACTGGACCGGCGTTGATAGGAGGAGGTGGAGGTTCGCGGTTGATGTTGGGGTTGTTACCGACGTTCGCAAGCCAAGGTTGACCGAAGGGAGGGCCAGCAGCCATATGTAGTGAGTGTGGAGGAATTTCAAAGGAGGCAGCGAGGTTTAGTAACTGGCGTTAGGGTGAGCCAGCCAAGCTGCCAAATGCTACGACTTTGAATCAAAACTCTGGTAAGCACAAAAGTGGGAAGACAGTGACTACGAAGCTGGGAAGACGATTCATATGGCTTTTGGGCAGCCTTTTATATGTACACCTTATTACTGAGTATCCATTCAAGGGCCTAGCGATGCGTGAAGATAGAAGTGATGGATGCTACGAACAGCGAGAGGTCCACATACTATTGCCATATTTGAATGTGTTCATCAAGGTAGCGGCATTATGATGGGAACGAAGCTATGTTTGAATGGCGAACACGTCAAAAGGTCAGCATAGGCTATTTTGCGCAAACGGGACTCGGGGATGCTATGGTATCCACGTACTGTTCTTGAGAGTTGGGCTTGCGACAAGGGAGAATCACAGAGAATTTCGACATTTACTGACATCCAATTATGCTTCGTTAATATTCACTGGATAAGCAATAGCAGTGATGGGTATGATGATAACGTGGTGGCAGTCAAGGCCCGGGGTTAATTGGTAAGGCGTTTGATTCTGCAGTCACAATGTGCTATTCATGGTGAAGTGTGGCATGGTGAAGCTGCCAAAAGTGAAGAAGCAAGCAAATTGGAGGAATAAAAGAAGTGTATGCGCAATTTATGCAACAGGTATATACATAGAAATAAGGTGAAGCAGATGTAGGCTTCAAAGCGAGTGCGACAGAATGCCGGCGATCCTAGCGCCCGACCTGTCGCGTGTCTCCATCAGAGTGTACCTAGTATGTAGCGACCTTGGGTCCAGGAACAACGTAGGACTTGAAGTTGTTGTAGATGTTCGCAGTGTAACCAGAGTCGGTGCTCTTGACGTGGCCTAAAAGTTCGAGGTACGAAGTCAGAAAGTGTCTCACAAGCAGTTTGTATGCAGGATTCCTTACCGGGGATCTTGGTGGTAGGAGAGGGCTTTCCAGAGCCGCCGCCGGTGACCTTCACTTGAGCGCACGAGATGTAGAATTGAGGCGGGCTACCAGGGTTATGAATACCGAGCTGCTCGATGCGGAGCAGGTAGTCTCCGGCAGGGATCTGCGAAGGAATGGTCGTAGAGTAAGTAGCACTCATGTCCCAACTAGCCTGGCCGCCAGAGAAGGTGGGGCCGATCTCCTTGATCTTGAACCAGTCGCTGGATCCATCTGCGGCAGCTGCAGAGTCGACCTTTGTCATGTAGAAAGTAACAGGTCCCTGGTGGTAGACCGCTTGGTCTGCGGTGAACGAGACGGTGGAGCCAGCAGCTACCGAGACGGTTGTGGTGCCGCTACCTGAGTTACCTCCTGCATTACACCTCAAGTTCTTATCCGCAAGGTCGGTAACAGGGCTGTTGTTAGGGACGGGGCGAATGTTCTGGAAAAGAGCACCCTTGGCACCATTGGCAGTAAGAGTTTGGAAGATGTCTTGTTTGTCAGTGGACTGCTGGTGCAAATTTGTCGATGAAACTTACAGTGGGCTTGCGCAACGTTGGCAAAGGCCGCAACGGCGGTAGCAATCGCGATGCACTTCATGTTCGAGGTGTTAAGTGAGAGACTGATGAGTTCGAAAGCGAATGAAATCGAAAGTGCTAGTGATATTGGTAGAGAATACGAGAGGATGGTCGCTGAGTCTTAAATACCATTCTTCATAGATCTGAGGCTTCGGATGGCTTCCACGTCTATATTGCACGACGCAGGACATGACCAAAGAGAGTAAACACGAAGCCATGATTGGGTCAAGCATAGAACTCGAAATGAATAAACGTCACAGGACAGCTACGCTGGGGTACTGCAAGGCGGCAAAGGAACCGGGTTGTAGATGGAGGGTGGATACCCACTGCCGGTGGTTGTTAATAAGAATTTCTTCTGGAGCCGACCTTGTGACAGGTATCGACGAGGCGAGTGCGTGGTGGTATGCCAGGCAATATCGCGAGTATGGTATTTGCAATCCAGGACTGAAAATCATTGGCCATGCATGCGTGAAAAGTGCACACCGGGCGAATGGCAGAGGCGGATGTGGAAATGGATGTGGGTTTGGTGTGTCGAGAGAGAAGATTGGCGCGCTTGCTAGAACTGTACAACACTGGACGCTTAGGATAGATTAATATCTGGGGTAATATGTTAGATGAACGTGGCAAAGCTAGGGCGGAACTCGAACGGTGCGAAGGAAAAAAGGAAACAACACCGTTCCTTGATGTTGACCGGGCTCATGGTCGCACATGGACTACGGTAGTACTACGGTAAAATATGAGTCTTGTATGAGCGTCTGAAGTTTTGATGTTTGTGCAAAGAGGTGTTTCACGCCGAGTCATGCAGTGGACGTAGCCATGTCTCGAACGACACATTTGCCGAAATGACAAGCCAAGAAGTGTCGACGGAAGGTTCTCCCAAATCAAGTCTGTTCTGGCAGGTCCTGCAAGCTGAAGTCACATACTTTCTTCGCGATTAGTGTGGATACACGTTATTCGCGACAGTTGGGTTGACTCGCGTACGCGTCTTTCGACGTGCATCGATGACGCGCCGTGGCTTACGACTTCCGCAGTCCTACCAGCACCACCACAACAAAGACGATTTAGTGATGGAAATGTCGGGATATATCTTACGAGGCAACAGCAAGATTGCGCGATTGAAGGCTGTCATTCATACCGCCTCCCTCCAAGCTGCCGACTTAGCTCAGAGACCGCCGTGCATGCCTCAAACTCAAGGGACAGGATGCCAACTTTTTCGTACGAAGATTTGCTTCTGTTGATATCTTGCGACACAAGAAGGGGACTTGACCAGCCCACCAGGAACATGGCCCCGGCGTGCCTAGGCATTGCTGCACAAAACAACTTTGTGGAGTTGGCTGTAGAAGAAAATGTACAACTCCGCGAATTGCAGAGCTCTTGGGGATCCGTAGGAAGCTCGCCACATTGCCTACTTGGAGTAACTTTCCATAATCAGAGCGGGGTACAACACGTGATCGCGTTGTGTCTCGCCTCACCTTCAGCAGGCATCTAGTACTAATGTGGAAAGTCCTTGCGACTATGTGCGATACGGCAGATCCACCTTCTTATCACATCAACTGTTGTGTTCGGTAACATTACGGCATCGAGGGCTTAGGACGCTATAAGTCATCCATATCGGAGTCTTTTTGTGGACTTCCTTTTCTACCGTCTATCTCGTGCTCCTGATAGATCTTTTTTTCTGGTCGTGCATTGCATATACCTATCAAAAAATGTCCACAGAAGCCGCCACCAACCCCAGCCCGCGGAGCGAGAAGTCAGTTTCTGCGCAGCATCCTCTATCGGCCTTATCGGCATCAGAACTTCGGAATGCCGCGGCAATCATTAAAGCTTCATGGCCTGCACACACAGATCTGCACTTCAAAGTCGTTACGCTGCAGGAACCACCAAAGGCTGAAGTACTGAAGTACTTGGAGGCTGAGCATAGCGGCAAGCCAGTTCCATCTGTCTCAAGGAAAGCGTTTGTTAACTACTACATTCGGAATACTGTATGTATTGAAGGTTTCGATGAGATGACATATGGCTGATCATATGGTAGAGCAAGTTTCACGAGGCCGTTGTAGACCTGACCTCAGGGCGTGTCGACTCCAATATCTTGCTAGGACCTTTCGTCCACGCCAATGGAGATGGCGACGAGATTGTTGAGATCGAAAAACTCGTTCTGGCAGATGAGAAGGTGCAAGCCGAAATAGCCAAGCTCGAGTTGCCCAAAGGCACAGTAGTGATTAGCGATCCCTGGATCTACGGTTCTGATGGTGTCGGAGACGAAGACCGACTGTACCAATGCTTCCTCTACTTGAGAGATCCTATGAACTCATCAGAGGCCGACTCCAACCACTACGCAATGCCCCTTCCAATCTCACCTGTTGTGAGCACAGAAAGTATGCGTGTCATCCGGGTTGACTTGCTACCAACTGGAGCAGACAACACAATCAAACCAGTTGAGAAGTACAAGATACAACCGCCCAACGAGTATATACCCGAGGCCCAGACGCTACGAACCGATCTCAAGCCGCTTAATGTCGTTCAACCCGAGGGTGCGAGCTTCCAGGTCGAACAGCAAGGCACATCGAGCGTCATTTCATGGCAAAAATGGAACTTTCGAGTTGGCTTCAACCAGCGCGAAGGCATGGTGCTGTACGACGTCCGTTACGATAACCGTAGTTTGTTTTACCGATTGAGCTTGAGCGACATGAACATTCCAGTAAGTTGTGCCTGTACAAAATGCATATGAGACACAAATTGACTTTGCATTTTCACGCTTGCAGTATGCGGACCCGAGGCACCCCTTTCATAAAAAGAGTGCGTTTGATTTGGGCGATGTTGGTGCCGGCATCATGGCGAACAACCTCAAGCTGGGCTGCGACTGTCTGGGCTCCATCTACTATCTAAGCGCAGTGTTGGTAAGGAATCTTCCCCATACGAACTGCATGTGAGACATACACTGACTTCGTGCACGCAACGTTCAGGCCGATAACAAGGGTGATCTTGTTGAAATGCCCAATGTTGTCTGTGTTCACGAGCAAGACGCCGGAATCGGTTTCAAGCACACCAATTATCGCACAGGCCGTGCCGTCGTCGCCCGAAATCGCGAGTTGGTACTACAGAGTATCATCACCGTAAGCAACTACGAGTACATCCTGGCCTTCATTTTTAACCAGGCCGGAGAAATCGACTATGAGATCAGAGCCACTGGTATTCTGAGCACCCAGCCTATCGACGAGGGTGTGGAAGTGCCCTTTGGTACAGTAGTGCATCCAGGTGTGTTGGCTGTCCACCACCAGCACATATTCTCGTTGCGTGTTGATCCCAGGCTCGACGGCTACGATAATCGTCTGGTATATGACGAAGCGTTTGCGATGCCGCGTTCGGACTTCAACCCCCATGGCACTGGCTACTATGTCCAGGAGACCGTCGTGGAGAAGTCTGGTGGTTATGACATTGCGTACGAGAACAACCGTACCTTCAAGATTCAGAATCCCAACGTGCGAAACCCTGTTAATGGAAAACCAGTCGCATACAAGATACAGGCGCCACCGTTCCAGAAGATCCTATCAGACAAGGACTCATTCAACTACAAGCGCGCCGAGTTTTCGGACCACAACATATATGTCGTCAAGCACAAAGACGGCGAACTGTATGCGGGTGGGCTGTACACCAATCAATCTCGAGGCGGATCTGGTAAGTTGTGACTGTACGAGATACACATGAGACATATACTAAGGTTGTATACAGGTGTACGTTCATGGGCAGAGAGGAACGAGAACGTCAAGGACACCGACTTTGTGGTCTACATCCAAGCGGGAATCAACCACGTTCCTAGGTAAGTCGTGATTGTACGAAGCATGTGTGATATATACTGACCATCTACAGGATCGAGGATTTTCCTGTGATGCCGTGTGAGATTATCAAGATCCACATGAAGCCGGTCAACTTTTTCGACAAGAACCCTGCGTTGGATGTACCGCCAAGCGAGCAGGCGTTTAACAAGAGTAGCTTGCTGAGCGAGCAGCACCAGCAACCTAGTGTGACTGCGACAATTGGTGAGGATGGTCAATGTTGTGCGCCGACGACGGCGAAGTTGTAGGACTGTTTTGATACAATATTATGAATTGTAGTGGGAAATTTGCGTGAGAACAATTTTTTTCATGCTTAGGTGTATTTCAGTGGTGAATGTTTACGACGAAAAGCTGTTTTATTCAGTTGTACACCAAATATTGGTGTAACCCGTAGGAATATGCATGATTGACATTTCAATAGGTCCATGGCACAGAATACTACATACACATTCAAGGTAGCTTTTAGTACTCGGAAATGACTTCAAAGATACGAGCTCCTTCGTAGTCGCGTGCTTGCTGATGACGCGCCAAGCCCTTCGCGCTAGCCATGGTCCAAAGCTCATGCCCTCATGGAAGCCTCAAAGGCACACTCCAACCACTCTCCTCCTCGCACAACATTTCTACATTCCCTTGCTGTCCACCAACAAACACGCAGTGCCTGTTGTGGAATTATACCAAGAAAGATCATGGCGCCCAACGATAAAGCGGGCAGGGTCGTGTTCATCGGCAATATTCCTTATGGTACGCGACTATTCATCTCTCATCCGCACGCGCAAAGCTAACACTTCCCACCAGGCGGAACCGAAGAGCTCATCATCGAAACCCTTGGTCGCGTCGGTCAGGTCCTCAACTTTCGCTTGGTGTATGACAAGGAAACTGGGCGCCCTAAAGGCTTTGGCTTCGCAGAGTTCGCCGACGCTGATGCCGCAGCCTCCGCAGTGCGGAACCTCAACGACTACGATTTGATGGGAAGGAAGCTGAGGGTCGACTGGTCCAACGAGAGCGGCTCCGGCGACAATGCGCCGTCAAATCGCGACCAGAACGCGCAGCCAACCATGGGCATGAACGGCCAACAGCCAGCAGCGCCAGCACCGGCGCAGCCATCGAGTACCCTGGGCCCTCTTCCACCGGGCGTCGAGCTGCCGCCCAACCTCACCTGTCCCGATGCCATCTCGCGCACGCTCTCTACACTCCCTCCAGACCAGCTCCTCGACATCCTCTCACAGATGAAGGGCCTTGTAATGACGGATCCGGCAAAGGCGACAGAGCTCCTGCGACAAGCGCCTCAGCTGGCTTACGCCATTTTCCAGTCGCTATTGCTCCTCCAGCTGGTCGACCCACAAATCCTGACCTCGCTTGTGGAGACATCGGCGGCGCCTGCCCCAGTTGCGCAGGCTCCACCTGTTCAGCAAGTACAGCAACCACCACCGCAAGTTGCGCGACCACCTGTAAACTACCCCGGATACCCACCGCAAGTCGCGCCTACACCTCCTGTTCCACAGCCATATGCGCAGCCTCCACAGCAACCACAAGCACCTCCCACGGACCAACAAGCCTTATATGCCCAGGTCATGGCTCTGTCGCAGCAGCAGATTGACCAGTTGCAACCAGAATATCGCGCGCAGATCCTGCAAATACGGCAGATGTTAATGGCTGGCGGACGGCCCTAGTTACGCCGGCAACGATGGGGACTTTGCGAGAATCCGGAGCCTCGCTTTGATCTTGTTTTGAAGGACCGATTGTTCGACAAGCGGGGCACAGAGATTCTTCGAGGCATACTACTCCATGTAGGGGTGAGTACGACACAGCTTACACCTATAGCACGGGACTTGTTCGAAATTATGAATAATCCCGACCGCCGTGAAAGAGCGCAGAACTTGAAAGTGGAGATGTTCGCACATGATTTGTACAGTCGACATCATCTTCCAGAGGAGGAGGAAACTTGGGAACTCCTGATTCAGTATTTGGTCGAGGTCACAGAGTCTGAATTTATTTCAGACAGCTCAGGCGATGGAAGCAATTCTGAATTGGACGGGCAGGAACGTTGAGAGAACTTGTCGAAGTGTAACTAGTTGCTCTTTAAAGAAGGCTGCATAGCACAGTCGCGATCAGACATGAACTTGTCGCACAACACTTGAATAATGCAAAAAATGCACATCATGTCACACGCGCGCCTTGCTTTTGAAAATAATCCTTGTCGATGAGACTGGGTGGTGTTTGGACTATCACAATCGGGTTTAAATGTTTTCGGCGGCCTAACCAACATCGAACATGCAAGATAACTACATTGACTGTTTCGGCAATTCCCGCGTATCTCGCGCTTGCCAGACCAAGTTTGTAGGCTGTGCGATACTGGAGATATGACTACGAGATGGTTAGAAGTACAGTCGGGGTCTATTTTCGCAAGATGCACTCGCTTCCATCAGGATCAACATGTTCACTCTGAGCGTCAGAGAACAGCCCCGGAAGAAGCCCCGGTAAAGATCCGCAGAAGAAGCGTTTGCCATCGGGCAGCTATTGGCCCAGCCTCGCCTCCATCCCGTGTGGATCGAGCTAACCCTTGCCGCCAACTCACTCGGCTGCTGGGGCTTACGACCCAGGCCGAGCACTTCAGCTGCTGTTGCACCACACCAATCTTTGCGATTAGTACCGTGAGAGGCTGCTTCGGTTGTCCTTGGGCATTGCGCGCATACTTTCCTAGCCATTCTGCATCGGAAACTTGTACTATATCAACACGACATGACGATTTGAACGATTCTCTATCACTTGCGACTGTCTACAGCGATATACCCAGCATATCCCACCAAGAGATTCATCTCATTTGCGCCCGACCCATTGCCAGCACTACTTTATAATAACAACGCACCCGCGCGCCCCGCGCAACACGCAGCATCCTCCCAGCATCATGTGGAGCAGATTGACTGGTAGCTCTGCTGCCTCCAACAGCAATAAGGAAGAAGAAAGTCGCCGCCGCCGTACTAGCGACTCCACGCGTTCCAAGCGCGACCGAGACCCAGACGCTCGCTCAGTCGTGTCGTCGTCAACAGCCCGCAAACCTCCGAGCTCTAGACGCGACACTGCGCCGTCATCATCGTCGATTGCCTCATTCACGACTGCCTTCGACGAGATGCCGCGCTCACGGGCCACAACAACCAACCCCAACAGCGATCCCTACGACGACGACAAGCGTCGCGACGATCGCCGCAGCAGCTATGCCGAGTCGACCAGCTCCACACTGCGCGAAGACAAGGACCGGAAGAAGGGCAAGGACAAGAAGCTTGAGAAGCGCCGTTCGACGCGTTCGGTGCGATCGGGAAGTTTGTCGCAAAGTGGCGCTGGCTACAGGGGCGACATTGTCGACAGCCCCAAGCAAGCACAGCGCAGCTTCAGCGGCCAGATTGGCAGCGACGGCTTCTCGCAGTTCCCAGGACAGGCAGGAGCGCCCATGATGTCGGGCGCTCTGCCAGTGGGAAGCCACCACCCACCACCGCACCCTGAAGACTTGGACAATCACGTGCAGAGCCAGTTCCCTGGACAGAACCCGGCGCAGTACACCTCGAGTGCGCTGCCTGGCGGCCATCCCTTTGGAGCGGCTGCCGAGTTTTACAACGACCAGGGCCAGTCTGTCCATCAGCAGCCAGGTGTGAGGCCTCAGCCGCCTTCGGTCATAATAGGACAGGATACCCCCCATCTCATGTCTGCCTCTGCGCAGCCCAACCCGGTTGCCGACACCGGATCAGGTGCCGCCGCAGACTTCTATGGGCCCAGCACGAGTGTCCCTTCATCCAAACCCCCAAGGCCATCGAGCTCATCTATGCCCGGTGCCTTCGTCGACGACGCCCCGATGCCGGCGAAGCCACCACGGCCTGCATCTTCGTCGAGGCCCGACAAGCCAAGCACGTTCGGTCCAGCTGCTACTATGGCTGGCGGAGCTGCCCTTGGATACGCCATGGGCCACAGCTCATCTAATCATGAACACTCTACAAGCTACAGCTCAGCGAATGTTCGTCCTTCTACATCCTACTCTTCTTACACTAATAATACCACCCCGCCTGCCCCGGCTCCCGCGTCCACGTACAACATGTACGGCTCGGCTCCTAATACTTCTAATACCGCTGCCAACGACAGCAGCTACCTCCCACCCTACGCTGCAGCCGCCGCCTACGGTGCGGAAGGCGCGCCTCCCCCAAAGCCACCTCGGCCAGCCAAACCAGAGAAGCACTCGTCTGGCAGTATCGCTGGATTGTACGCTGCTGGCGCTGCAGGATTGGCGGCTTATGGCTTGAATCAACATAATTCACATTCTCACAACCACAACCACAACCACACCCATACCAACACACACTCGCACAGCACCTCTCACCACTACACGTCGATACACGGACCCAATGGGCATCAGCATAATGGTGCTCCACATAGTTCGTATAGCTCTGGCGGCATGGCTCAGCAGCATCAGCATACTGGGCCCGTTTCTAAGTTTGTCGACTGGTGGAAGGATTACGAAGACGTGCAGAAGATGGAGGAATACACCGAGTACATCGGAGTCTGCAAGGGTTGCTTTGATCCTCGCTCATCCGTCTTGGACGCTCCACGCAAGCACCACTATTACAGAAAACGATCCAGTGAGTTCATGCGGCCATCTGGTGGCATCGAAAAACAATCCCGTTACTCGCTCAAGGAGAAGAAGTCTTACGGCTCTATCTCTTCGGGTGAGGAGCGCCGAAAGACCAAGAGCAGTGCCGCAGGCTGGGTAGCTGCAGGCCTAGGCGGAATTGGCTTGGCCAAGGCTGGAAAGGCTGTTTTGACTGCCGGCCGCGACGACTTTGATGATACCTATAGCATCAAGTCTGGACGCTCAAGAATCTCACGCCGCAGTCGCAGCCGATCGAGGGACCGCAAGAGTTACAGCTATGGCAGCTCTGGCATCCGTCATCGGAGCAATTCTGCTGATCGCATGTCCATCATGTCAGTGGGCGTCACGAACGACAAGAAGGACCGTAAGGATTATAAGATTCGCCGTCATTCCCGATCGAGCTCCAGTTCAAGTAACAACTCTGGACGTGGCAAGACTGGCTTGATCGGCACTGCTATCGGCGCTGGTCTCGCAGGCGCCGCCCTTGGAGCGGCTACCAGGAGGAAGCACTCTAGCCGATCCAGGTCGCCTAAGAGGGTACAGGTTATACACCCCCGGAGAGATAGCAGCGACGATGAGCGCCGTAGGAGGAGATCCCATCAACTTCGACGGAAAGCTTCTCGAAGCTCAACATCTGGCGCCTCCGTCATCGAGATTGGCGACACTCACGAATCACAGGGTGGTTTCTTCAATGGTTTCTTCGCTGCACCCCCTCCAAAAGAGAAGCGAGTCAACACCACGAGTCTCAAGAAGAAAAAGAAGGGCTTTTTCAATTTCAGCAACAACTCGTCGTCCTCATCCGACTCTGAGATGGCATTCGGCACCGGCTATGTGAAGAGGACGCGCCGACGATCATCAGGACGAACATCAGGACGGTCATCACCTAAGAGACGGAACTCGGATGAGCGATTGAAAGCCTCTCTTATCGGTCTTGGCACCACTGCCGCTGCTATTACCGCAGCGAAGGCTGGCAAAGGTAAACGCCACAATGAGGTTGTTGCTGTAAAGGAGAACCGACTCGGTCGCAAGACAAGCCAAACCTCACGACCTGGCTCCCGTTATGGAGACGACGAGTGGGAGGATTTGCCGGATGATGGTACTTCAGACTCCTCGAGTGACGGCGGTCTCGTTTACGGTGATTACGCCCTGAAGAAGACCAAGAGCAACGACTCCATCGGATCCAACGATTCAGGGACCAACAAATGGGGCTGGCGTTGGGGTTTTGGCAAGAAGAAGAGGAGGTCGTCCAATAATCTCTACGACAACATCGCTAGTACATCTCTTATTGGACCTACCGCAGCTGGTGCCGCAGGCGCTTTGACTGGCGCAGCTGTTGCAGCTACTCATGGACACCACGACAGTGAGTCTAGTAGCGCGCAAACACTGCAATCGGTTTACCCTGTTGCACCTCTTGACCCCAATGCGTCGTTCGATGCACGCCGCACAAGCTCTATCGTCACCAATCAACCTCCGGTCACCCCAGGCCCTGGTCCTGTCCCCATCCAGCACCCTCAGCCGGTGCAACAAGTCCCTGGATCGATTTATTCAACACAAGCGCCACCACAATCTGGCTACACTGCCCCTGCAGGCCCACCAGTCTTCTCACAAGCACCATACCCACCTCCGTACCCCATGCAATCTCAAGTTCAAAACATCATTGTTCAAAGCCCTCAGCATCCTCAATTCCGTCGAGCGAACTCTTCGCCTATTCAGAGCTCATCGTGGAAGCGGGATGCGGCTATGGCAGGACTTGCAGCGACTGCTGGGGCTGCCGTAGTGTCCGCACTGAAACACCCTGATCGCCCTCCTAGTCGCCCACCATCCGCGAATAGCAATGTCCGCTTCAACCTAACGCAAGAGCAAGTAGACAAGGAGCAGCGTGAGCGACGTAAGGAGCAGGACCGCTTAGACGAAGAAGCCAATCGTCGTCGAGAACAACAAAGAATAGACGATGAGGCGCGACGAGAAGAAGAAGACCGTATTCGCCGAGAGCAACAGCTACGCGATGAGGAGGCGCGACGAGAAGCAATCGCGCGACGTGAAGAAGAAGATCGCGTTCGAAGAGAACAGCAACTGCGAGAGGATGAGGCTCGTAGAATCGAGGAAGACCGTCGGCAGACACTGCTTCGCTTGGAGGAAACAGCACGTCAAGAAGAAGAGCGCCGCCGTGAGGAAGACGAACGGCGTCGCCAAGAGTTGCAACGGCAGCAGGACGAGGCCCGCAAGTTCATGGATATCGAACGCTTGGCTAGGCTTGAGAACGAACGTCGTCGTGAACAACAAGAGGCTCAGGCACGCCAGGCTCGAGAAGCAGAAGATCGAGAGCGTCAGCAACGGATAGCCCAACTGGAGCACCAGCGCCAGCTTGCAAGCGAGGCAGCCGAAGCTGAGCGGAGACGAAGAGAGCGACTTGAAGCCGAGCAAGAAGAAGCTGCTCGGGCTGAGGCTGCTCGACGCGAAGCTGAGCAAGAAGAAATAGAGCGACGTCTTCGAGAACGCGAAGGGGACTATATCGATCGCTATCCGAGCAACCGAGCGCAGAAGCTTGTACAACAACCCCTGGGAGGCTCCATTGCTTTACCTGCCACTAGTGCCCAGCGAAAGGAGCAGGAGCTGCAAGACCGTGAACGTCAAGCATCCAAGTCCGACAAGAAGTCTTCTGTTGCTGGCGCTGTAGCCGCTGGCGCTGCCGCAGCAATCGCGACTGCGGCGATCTCGTCCTACAGGGACAAAGAGAAGGAGAGAGAGCAAGAAAAAGAACGGGAGCGTGAGAAGAAGCGCGAGCGCAAGCGGGAGTCCTCCTCATCGAAGTCGTCGTCTTCGAAGAGCAGCAAGAAGCGGGAGTCAACCAGCGTCAAGACCGTTGAACCTAGCAAAATCGAGCAGGACATGTTCGACGATGAGATCTTTGACCCCAATATCTTCAAGCAAGACAACTCTCGCCAACAAGCTCGCGACGTCTTACAAGACTGGGAGGACAGGTACTCTGCCGAGCCAGTCTCTCAAGCTGACTTCTTCGCGCCGAAAGAGCTTCTGACCAACGACAACCTACCAAAGGTTCATCCCGTAGACCCGAACGAGGGTGCTCCTGACCTTCCTGTGTACCAGTCATATGAAGACTACCCGATCAGCCAACCCAAGATTCCACCGTATCCTCCATCGTATTCGTTCACGGCCACCAGGAATGGTCGGCCTTCTCAACCACAACCGCCGCCTGTACCTTCGCTGAACCTCATTTTGCCTACACCCCCCGGTAGTCGCGCACCCTCTGTGCGTAGTCCATCGCCAGCAGTGGAGCCTATCAGGGAAACCAGGCGCGAGCCAAGGGACGACGAGTCAAATCGAGCAAGATCTAGAGTGAGTTGGGGCGAGAACCAGTTCCACCACTTTGATGTCCCCACTCCAGAGTCCTACCGCGAACAATTCGTCTCTGACGGCGACCTCAAGTCGCGTGAATCGAAGCAACCTGCCGACGAGACCACAGTTGAGCGGGAGACGTCTAAGCCTCATCAGACTACGTCTACTTATACACCCTATCGCCCAGAGATGTCAACAGTGCCAGAGAGCAAGGAGACCGCACCTAGTACACAGTATGTTCGTGACAAGGATGACTCCACGTGGGACAGTGTCGTGGATGCTGCTTCCAAGAAGAGCAAGACCAAGGAAAAGAAGTCCGCGGCCGCCGCTGCGGCAGCAGCTCTTACCACTGCAGCGGTTCTTTCTAGAGAAGAAAATGATGAACGCGACTTGCGTGACTTCAGACCCACCGCGTCCAGCTTAAGCAACCCGTTTTCTGATGCGAATATGGCGCCTTCCACCATTGCTGCATCAACTACTTCGGCATCAACCATTTCGGCAGCACCGTCGTGGCCTTCCACTATCACTCCGTCGAACATCTCAGCAGCGCCATCGTGGCCTTCCACTATGTCTCCATCAACTATCTCGGCGGCACCGTCTTCCACCATCTCTCCATCGATCATCTCTGCTGCACCATCTACGAGCAGTGTGCAGACAGCATACTGGCAGCCTGAACCAGAGCGCAACGCGTGGAGAACCCCCCAGCAGGACCCAATTGGACCTGGTTTTGTTGAAGGAGAGGTTTCTACACCACCAGCGATCATGCACATGCCTGGTGGTTGGGATGACATGCCCGAGTCTGAAGTACCCGCAGAGGGGCCCTCAGCATACTCGACGAAAACGGACGTAAAGGGTAAGGACAAGTCTAAGGATACTGATGAACGTGTAGCTATGCAGAATGTCTCTCGACGTGGGGACGCAACACCCACCGTGACTTCCGCACCAGTCAAAGAGAATGAAGCCGAGCCAGAGGTCAAGACAAGCAAAAAGGACAAGAAGAAGAAGTCCAAGAAGTCATCGAAGCGAGCTAGTGTAGATACATGGGAGATGAGCGAACCCAGCCCACCATCAAGCCCGATTATCGAGCGCGATCCCAGGGACATTGAACCTTCCAGAGACCCCAGAGACATCGAGCCATCGCGGGATCCCAGAGATATCGAGCCTACTCAACGCGCTGAAGCCTCGCGTGCCCCTGAATCATCTCGCTACAACGAGCCATCTCGATCCGCCGAACCACCACGACTAGGAGAAGCATTCCAGGAATCACCCAGCACTTCTCCCAAGAAAAGCTCTCGTCAGGAGGAGACCAGCGGCAGTAAATCTGCTACTGCCGCAATGGCCGGTGGGTTCGCTGCTCTGATGGGTATGACTATGAACCAGGATCAGAACAGGATGGCCTCAGACCTCGAGCGTGCCAGGAAAAATTTGGAGTCTACAGAGAAGAACAATTCTCGCAACTCTCCTGTGTCTCCGACAAACGGTGCACGCGCACTCGAAGAACACGAGAAGAATGTAACGATTCCAAGCTACGCATTCGAGGGTATCGACGAGTTAGCCGACAAGACACCGAGACCGAAGGTTCAGAAAAGACATAGCAGCGGCAAATGGTCACCAAGCATTAGTTCTCCTCTCAGGACCGAGACGAAGTATGACGACTATATGGGCGCTCGTACTATTCCTGATCCTTCAAGATATCAGACTATGGTCGAGGCTCCAAAGGTCCCCACTACGTCACCTTTCACGACGGCACCTGAGCCACCCACCACTCGTAACGTAAATGACTCTGGCTACTATGCTCCCGACGACACGCCACGAAGGGAAAGCAACGATAAGGAATCTGACGGATTCTTTCCCACAGGCTCCAACGACAAGGAGAGGGACAACTATGCTCGAGACGAACGCGATCAGGACAACGATGACAGATACGACGATGATTTCGACGACAGGTCACGTAGATATGATGACGATGACATCGGTTCGATCGCCTCTCTGAGTTACAAGTACGAGGACCCAGACCGTGAAGAGAGACGCCGTAGACGTCGGGAAGCCAAGTCTGAGACTCGTGAGAAGAGCCATGATCGCGGTTACGATCTTGAGGAGGGCGGTGAACGAAGGCGACGTCACCGGCGCCATGAGACTGAAGATGGTGATGATGACTGGGACACGAAGTCTGCCGTCTCCGACACTCGTTCAGAAGTTCCTGGCGAACGACGACGCAAGCACAAGAGGAGGGAAAGCGAGAAGGACATATCACCCGAGAGCAAGAGAAGGTCGCGCTCGTCAGCAGCTTCCGAATACGGCGACTACGACGATGACCACAAATCTTCACGAAGACGCTCTAGGCGAGATGACGACATGGTTTCTGTCGTATCCTCTATCCCAGACCTAGACGAGGATCGTAGTTCAAGAAGAGAGAAGGAGAAACGCCCAAGTGGCTTGCTAGGCCTGTTCAGCAGCAAGTCGAGGGAGAACCTGGCCGAAGCTTCGAGCAAGTCCTCGAAGTCAAAGGACGACGACGACGAAGAACGCAAACATCGTAGACGGAAGCATCGGTCGGATCGCGGTTCCACTTACGGCGGCTCAGACGATGATGACATGCGCTCCACGATCTCAAGCAGTAGTCGACGCGAGAAGAGGAGCAGTCGCAGTCGCAGTGAGAAAGGAGATGGAGACAGGAGGGATGCTTATGACGATAAGGTACACCGCTCTTCACATGTGCGATAGCGTGGTGGTTCGCAATGTATTTAGAATGAATGTTGATGTTGTGTATATAGGATACTTTACACCCTCGAACCCCGCCCTCGCATGCCGATGAACAACAACCAGAACAACCGTCTTTTTTAGGCGATCGGGCAGTGGCCACGGCCACTCCAAGTCCACTGCCCGTAGGTGAGCCTGTCGATCAGGCCCACGAGGGTAGTGGCATAATCCCTGGAGATCGGCCCGAATTTCCTCTTTCGACATCAGACGATGCCCAACGCCTCACCGCCTCTGAAGACACCGACCGACCCAGAACACCACCCGAGCTGTCGTTCGAGGACAGCCGCGCGTTACTAACCCGTCTTACAGGTCTTCAGCCTTGGCAATTAGAAGCTTTCCCAGACGAGCTTCCTCCCCTACCGCTGTCTAGGCCAGGTTCGCCAACCCGATCACCAGATGTCTCGCGTCCTACTACTGCAACGTCTCAACGCCGGCTATCCTCTACTGCAGTTCCTATACGCTTTCGCAAGCCCGTTGTCCCCTCTACCACTGATCCAAGCTTAGCCACTAGTCCTGTCTCTATTGCCTCACCAACTCGTTCTCGCCATGGCAAGACCCACTCTACAGAGTTCAGAAACTCTCGCGAGTTTCGACCACTGTATCTGGTGGAGCGCAACCGCAAAACCGATGAGATCGACGAGGTACTTCCAGCGCTCCCACCCAGTAGTGCATCTTCAGTTGTCTCCGGCGCAGACTCAGAGGAAGAGTTCGAGTCCGCTCTAGAATCACCGTATGAGAGCGTTGGGCAATCGTCCAATGATCCATCTTATGATCCTCTAAGTGCCGTATCCGACCTCATTTCGCCTCGCTATGGAACGGAACCTCAACAGCCTGAGGTTGCACACCGTGAGGCTGAAGAGATCGAGGAATCCGGGCAAGCTACACCGAAAGCTTCAGACTATTTTACAGGTGCGCAGGAAACGTCGTCAGCATCCAGTGGTCCAAACTATGAATCACTTACTGCGGCGTTGGAACATGCAAGAGCACAAGAACAGGATGAGTCTACCGATGATGCTTTCATGTCAACCTTGACATCTCCACAGCCAGAGACGCTTCTCGATACAAGTGCCCCGCTTGACGATAGGATGATGCGTGACGTGCCTACACCTCGTGATGCTGCCTCTGCGCCATCAAGTAGCTCGACAAGACTTCAGGATGCTGCTCTCGGTGCTGTAGTGGGAGGATTGACAGCGGCTGCGATGCGAACGCGTTCCCCTTCGCCAACTAGGTCTGACCGCGATGATTTCAAAGACAAGGTTTCATCAGTCGCAAAGTCAAAGCAGCCTGAATTTGAGACCGCCGAAAACGTTGTCGAGCCATTGCCAAAGGAAAAGGGTAAAGGCAAGAAGGGCAAGAAGAGTAAGAAGGCTGTCGCAGCTGAGTCTCCAATACCTGCACCGACTGAAGAGGTGGTAGAACCTTCGCCCTCTTTCAGCTTCGCTCCGACGTTCGTCGAGGATGAGGATGATTGGATCAAGAACAGGTCCGAGTCTATCGTCACCGATGATGCTACGCTTGTTGGTGAGCCTGTGGCTACGCCTGCAGATGCCAAGGACTTTCGACAGAAAGTTCTGGATAGTACTGCACCACGGAAAGACGAGTCTACTGAAGTCAGACGCGCTACCTTTGATAACGTTCCTCAAGAAGCTGCGAGGTCAATCGAAAAAGTTGAAAAGGCAGAGACAGGGCTTGGAATATCAACCGATTTCGCCCCAGCGACATCAATATCTTCACGGGATGCCCCTGCGGAACCTAGTTCTTCCATGCCCGCCGATGTGTCAACCGCTGAGCCTATCATTGAGTCTATCATCGAGCCTGTTACTGAGCCTGTTACTGAGCCTGTTACTGAACCAGTCGTTGAGCCACCTACCGAATCAGCCACCGAGCCAATTATCGATGAGGAGGTTACACCTGCACCAAAGGCCAAGAAGGGAAAGAAGAGCAAGAAGGGAAAACGCGGTAGTAAGCAAGTTGAGCCCGAACCATCGTCTTTACCAGAAATCGCACCTCAAGATGACCAGATATTGCCTTCGTCAGAGTCACAACAGGAGACCATTAAGCGCGATATTCTTGAGCCATCTTTTGAACGCACTGAGACGAATGACAAGGTCGATGTTATGGACTCTTTGGTTCAAGAAGACGTGCCAGCCGCCTCGGCTGATGAGGCAATGTCAAAGAAGATTGTACCTACACCTGTCGCTTCTACGAACCCCAAAGAGCCTGAGATGGAAGTTCCAGCTGGGCCTGCTACACCCGAGCTTCAAGCTCGTCCTAGCACATCCGACGGTCCTGAACAAGCTAAGAACAAGGTCAACGTCGAGGAACAACGTCGAGCCTCCACCATCGAAGGACAATCGGGAGGATCAGGCTGGGGTTCCGGCCTGTGGGGTGCTCTTGGATGGGGCAAGAAAAAGGCGCCATCACCAACATCCTCGCCTCCATCCTCACCTAAACCCCAGTCTGCTGTCCTGGCTGCGCTGGCTGCTGCTAGAGAAGAGGCTAAACGTAAGGGATTGCCATCCCCACCGATCGTGCCTGACAAGAAGATTGCCACAGTCGGGATCAGGCCCACTCTTTCTCGAAAGAGTACACAGGACGAACCAGCAAAGCCGCAGTTACAGCTCGAGACTGAAGTCAAAAGAGCTGCCGTACCTGATCAGCGTCCAGCCGAGGCAACCCGCGAACTTGTTCAAGACGAAGCAGGCTCCACTGTCACACCCCACACTGCGTTCTTCACTGACGATGGTAAACCTTCTTTCGCATTCCCTAAGATGCCAGCGACACCTCAGAAGCAGACTTTCGATACTCCCAAGGACATTCCTGCTGTCGAAGAGAAAACTACGTCGCAACCTGAAGAAGCCACACCGTCTATTGCCTTCTTCACAGACGATGGAAAGCCATCTTTTACATTCTCACCTGTACCTTCCACACCTGCAGCTACGTCAACGGCAACAGAGTCTGAAGAACTGCCTGCTGCGAAGGAGGCAAAGAGCCCTGCTTACGTCTCCCCACACAGCACATTCTTTACCGACGATGGAAAACCATCATTCACCTTCCCGACGATGTCGTCTTCTCCTGCCATCGAACCCAGCTCCACAGCTAAAGAGATCCCCATCACAGAAGAGACCACAGCTTCTGTGGGTGTCTCACCGCGTAGCACGTTCTTCACTGATGACGGAAAGCCTTCGTTCTCGTACCCTTCGATACCATCTGCTACTGCAGAGCAAGCTACATCGATTGCGAAGGAAACGCAGGTTCCGCGGGAACAAACCCCATCCACTTTCGTTGCGCCTCGGAGTACGTTCTTCACTGATGATGGGAGGCCATCATTTGCGTTCCCATCAATCTCTATACCTGCTGAGCAGGCAGCCTCGAATTCCACCGACACGAAAATCGAAACGGAGCAAGAGTCATCTGCGTTCGCTGTACCCCGGAGTTCCTTCTTCACCGATGACGGAAAGCCACCGTTCGCCTTCGGAACTGTCTCTACACCCACAGCGTCCTCGGTATCGGTCAACAAAAGCACAGCCATCGAAGAGAAGACTGCAGAACCTTTATCTCTTGCTCGAAATGCTTTGTTCGCTGATGATGGGCAACCTACCAGCACGATCTCTGACTCAGTCCCGACTGAATCTGGTGGTTCTATCTATGATCGAATTTCGCTTGAACCTAGCTCGTCAAAGAAGAAGATCATCAAGCCGAAGAAAAAGACGAAGAAGAGTAGCGTACAGGTTCCTGATCTGGATGAACCTGTAAACACTGTCGATACGACTACTGATGCTTCCGTTGGTATTGCGTCGGAAGTCTCAGACGAGCAACCAGCCACTGGGCCTGTCGAGCGCCAGCTCGAAGCTGAAAGAGGTGAACAGGTAGCACTTGAAGCTACACTTCTTAGCGAAGAGCCGCCTGCTGTCGTTTCTGCTGAATCAGCCGTTGAAGTCAACGAGTCAGTGGCTGCAGAATTGTCCATTCCAGCCGTTGATGAGGTCACTCCATCTGCTGGCAAGAAGAAGGCCAAGAAGAGTAGGAAGAGCAAGACTGCTGAGCCCGCGATGACTGAAGCCGAGACATCGGCTACCACATTGCCTGTTGTACCTTCTGCTGAGCGTTCGCTTGATGCATCATGGAATCCGGCACTGCGCAGCGAGAAGGAGCCGAGTCGACAAGTCAGCGCGACACCCACAAGTGAATCGGTGACTACAGCCGAGGATATCGCCATCAACGAGCCCTCGGCCACGGAGACCGTGCAAGAAAGGACTGCGCCATCAGAGAGCGAGGGTTTGAAGCTCGTACCCGAAGCCACATCAACCACAGAAGAGGTTGCCCTTGAAGAATCCTCTCTTCCTCTGGACTTGGAGACTGTGACAAAACAAGAAGCACCAACTGAGTTCGTGTCCTCTGTCCAAGACGATGCACTCAATACGAAGATGAGTGAGAAGAGTGGTATCCCCGCGCAGGAACCCTCACCCACTACGGTCTCTGAGTCTGTCGAAGCAAGCGAAAAGTTATCTGACCAGCCGACTGCCACCCAGGACATACACCAGTCTACCACAGTTGAGGCTGCCAACATACCTTTGCCTGACGAACAATCCGACAAAGATCTCACGCACCCTTCCGAGAAAGATACCTCTGTAGACGTTACTGACGAGACTAAGCCAAAACTCGAATATTCGTCAGCGCCTATAGAAGCTGAGCTTCCTACTACGCCTAAGACTAAGAAGAGCAAGAAGAGCAAGCGGAAAAGTGGTATCGCGACGCCCCTGCCTGAGATCGAAGTCGCGCCTGAGCAAGTTACAGCTCCCCTTCAAACGTCTACACCGGCCAGTGAGCCGGTAGCTGTTACAGAAGAACTTTTTGATCAGACCCGCGATGTTGAGCGACCGCCATTGATTGAACAGGTTGATGCTGTAGAGGTTTCTCTTCCCCAGCAGAAGCTTGACGATGTAGCTGATCCTGCCACTGTACCTCTTCCGACTGCCGCTTTCGACGAAGATTTGTCTACGCCATCAGAACAGCCAACAATTACAGCTGAGGCCTTGACTCCTATCGAATCGAAGACGGAGGATACCCCATCAACTCCCACTTCGAAGAGAGACAAGAAGAAGAAGGGCAAGAAGACCAAAGATATCAAACCCTCCGTGGAGAAGGTCTTTACGCAAGAGGAAAGTGCTAATGTTGAGCCAAGCGTGGAGCAAGAGAACACTAATAGAGAGATCGATCAAGAGGAGGCCACTATCGCTGTACAAGCGCCAGTAGAGCTCAAAGATGAGATTCAGGATGTTGATGCGAAGGATTTAAATACGAAGGATTTGGATGCCGAGAAGGTCGGACCAGTTGTTCTCGAAGAGCAGCCACAGCTGGACGTTGTCGTTGATCAGGCACCCAAGGAGGGACCCACGGAGCACACCAACGATATTCCCCAAAAGATAAAGCCAACGCATCTTGAGCCAGACAACTCATCGGTAGCTAAACCAAGCCAGGTCGCAGATCTAGTGTTTGATGACGTTGCGGATGTACCTTCTTCTAAGAAAGACAAGAAAAAAAAGAAGGGCAAGAAGGCAAAGATTTCGATCGAGGAGCCTAGTACACCAGTCCTTGAGGAACAACCAGAGTTAGAGGATGTTCAAGCTCGCCCTGTTGTCGCCGCTTCCCAACCTGCGGTGGAACAGTCTGTACAACAGGCGGCAAAGTCGGAGCCTATCGTTGACGACGTAATCCCTGTGCAGGAGGAGTTCAACTCGGAAACCCTACAGCCTTCCACTGAGAGCGCAATCCCCGTCATTGCGGAGCAATCGGAATCGCTACAGCCTGTAACGGTCGCAGATGAAGAAGCCAAAACATCATCGAAGGATAGCAAGAAGGATCAGGCCAATGAGGATGTATCAAGCGTTCCACCCATTGGTGCTCAGCGCGGATTGGAACCTCAGACAGAAGTTGCTGGAAGTCAAGACCTTCCTGAAGCGATACATGAAGCGCAACAGGAAACCAGATCCATCCGCGGAGCATTGGACAATGTTCTCCCTGAATCTATGGTCGGTTCTGAGTCAACTCCAGGAGTCACCGAAAGGCAATCCACCTTTGATGATTCAATGATCTCGCAAGTGGCTCCAGTCGAAGAGCATTTGCAATCTGCTACGCTACTGGAAGAAGAGCCTACAACGCCATCGAAAAAGTCCAAAAAGAGTAAACCAGTCGAGATTGAACCCACACCTATCGACGTAGCAGATGTGAAAGCGGAGACTGAACCTTCTATCGAAGCCGCTGGATCCGGGCCGATCGCAGATCACATTCCAGCTACATCTCTTAAGCCACTTGAACAGCCCCAGGTCGAGTCCCAAGTGACACGCAGTGACCGAGCACTCGATGTTTCTCCCGAGCTACCTGTAGAGTCAGTCACGGAAGCTTCTCAGCCTTCACTCCCTGCCGAGGATCCCCCACGCGAGCCATCACGAGAGACGCTGGCTATTGAACCAGAGACAGTGCCTCTTCCAGAAACGCCTGCCAGAGGGATTGACGAGCCCATCGCAGATGATCAGCTTGCTACGCCATCTAAAAAGAGCAAAAAGAAGAAGGCCAAGAAGGGAAAACCGACCGAAACCGAGCCAAGTACGCCTGTTACTGAAGTAGCTACTTCTCAGCCTGACCCATTCACGAACTCCGCCCAACCTGAGCAACCCACAGCTGAATCCGTTCCTTCAGCGCAGGCTGAGCCCGCTAAGTCAGAGCAAGCTGCGTCATTGGCTGAGCTTGTAGCTCTTCCCGACACCGATGACAATGATCTGGAAGAGCCGGTAGTCCCCCAAGTTGAGGTTCCTGAGGATGTCCCTGTCGTCCATGAAACTGTTGTAGGCATCTCTGATAACGCTACTGGCACACAGCAGGAGATCGCTCAAGATCTTATCGTCCCTGCATCGCCTACGCAGCCAGCTGTAGAGGCTGAGCCAATCTCCAAGAAGAGCAAGAAGAAGGCTAAAAAGGGCAAATCCATTGACACTAGTGAGCCTAGCGCACTGGCTGATGAGGAGCCAGCACCACAGTCCGACATCCCTTCCGAGCCTTCTCAAGACGCCAAACGCATCGAAGATGATGTGCCGCAGCCGCCGCAGGAGAGCTCTAGGGAAATTCCATCGAATTTGCCGAAGGAGGTGCAAGCAAATGAGGGTGCCACCCAGGATGTCGAGCTCCAACAGGACTCAGCGACACTTAGACATGAGTCTATCACCGATGATGCTGCTACAGCTGTCAAGCCCGATGTTACATCTGGTCCTGTTACGCAAGATCCTACTGAGCAGCACCACACCAAGGACATCTCAGCGCTCAAACCCGAGCTTGGCGATGTCTCCTCCGATAAGCCAACTGACTTCGTTGCTGATGTCGCTACTCCGGTGACACCTCTTGAGTCTAGCCTTACGGGTGAGCAGCCTGTACTAGACACTCCCGCTGGCCCAAGCGCTGAGATGGATCGTGCTCTGGTAGCTGACCAGTTTACACAACCCGTTTCATCTGCCGTACCATTTGATGACGTTGCACCACCTAGCAAAGCAGTCACCGACGCTCCACGTGCCGAAGAAACGGTACAAGACGAAGATGCTCCTAGCACGCCTAAGAAGAACAAGAAAAAGAAGAAGGCCAAAAAGGGAGCATCGGCTTCCGAGCCTGAGACTCTTGTTGCCGAGTCTGCGCCAATCACTTCCGAGACCACTATCGCAGCAACTAAGGAACCGACCACTCAAAGCGTTGTTCGTGAGCTTAGTGCCACTGAACTTCTGCCAGAGCATATTGAGGCTCCTACTGCCGAGCAGGATGTCATCACTTCCACGACACCCACCCAGTTCCAGGAAGACGCCCAACCGATCGTTGTCGGAAAAATGCGCGACGAGCCCGTTCCGGAACAAGGCGTTGAGGCTGCATCGCTCTCGAACGAAGACAAGACAGGCCAGGAAGCTAAAAAGGCCAGAGTCGAGAGTGAGGCGCCCAAGAAATCTTCTACGCCTGCCGAGGCTAGGATGCGAGCTTTCGATGAACCAAATATCGAAGAGCCAGTCGCGTCTAATGCTCAAGAAAAGCCTACACAAGAATCCGTCGTTGAGACACAGACCGTTCTCGAGACCGCATCTCCGACATTGACGCCAGTGGATAGTAACATTCAAGACGATGTACCTCCAACCACGTCGCCGGCTGAACATGCCATCGCCAGTATCCCGGACGATCCCACACCTGTGTCCAGAGACCAAGATGACGCCATGGTTACACAGTCTGATGCTGTCGCGTCTACAGCTGAGCAGAAGCAAGCAGAGGAGACGACTTCCAAGAAGAGCAAGAAGAAGGCTAAAAAGGACAAACGTGCTTCCGTCGCTGAAGACCCGATCCTGCACCCTGAGCCATCGGCTTCGTTACCCGGAACTACTGCAGAGGCACCATCTACGTTTGCTGAAGTTGCAGAATCTGCAAGAGCAACTACCTCAAACAAAGAGCCCAATCTCGAAATTACGCCTACCTCAAATGTGTTTGCCGAACGTGATACCGTTCCCGATGCCACAGCTCCACCCGTTTCTGAAGCAAGTATCGTAGAGAGAAACGAAGCGCTAACATCCGACGAGCCAAGTCAGCAGATGCCAACTATCGATGCACTCGTGCCTGAGGAACCCAACATAGTAGTTGCCACAGAAGAAGCTGCCGCGCCTCTCTCGAAGAAGGACAAAAAGAAAGCTAAGAAGGCCAAGCGCGTTTCAACCACTCAAGAGCCTACTTTCATTCCGCCCACTTCCATTGAGGAAAAGGCTGAGCCAGTGCTGGAACAGCAGATCGAGTCCACGACTCCAGCTACTGAGGGACTTATCTCTGAAACCCCTGTCATTGAAGAAACGCCAATTACTCTTCTCGATGTTGCTGAAGAGCGGACAACGATACCTGCACCTGTCCAAGAGCCTGTTGCGACACTTTCGCCTATCTCTGAGGTGCCTATTCAAGTCGAAGCTGCGCCAGAGGCCGCAGGGCCTGTTCCAACGAAAGACGAGAAGAAGGCGAAGAAGCCAGAGCGCGAATCTATTGTTGATGCTACTTCAGTCGAGACGCCAGTAGAGAAGTCCCAAGAACGCTCTCTTGACACTGTTGCTGCGAGCGTTGAGCAACAGCCTTCCGAAGTCGCATCAGCCGAGCTTGCTGCAACATCTGCCATTGTTGAGGAATCCAGCAAGGACGAGACCTCTTCCGGCGTACCGGCCGAAGACAAGCGATTTTCATCGACTTCTGTTGTAGAAGGAAAGTCATCTGACGCAGTAGTAACTGAGCTGCCTTCTACAATTGTCCCGACCGAGGGTCCTGCCGAAGAGCCCACAACACCTTCGATCACTAATGAGCCGGTAAAGCTTTCTAAGAAGGAGAAGAAGAAAGCGAAGAAGAACAAGCAAGGTTCAATCGCAGAAGCTGAGCCATTTGTTCCTTCCACTCCGATGAATGAGCCTGTCAAAGGGCTTGCAGAAAAAGTCAACGATGGTGCCGTCATCGATCAAGACCCTATAGCACCAGCCGTCGAGCAGACAGAGGCTTCGGTTGCTGCACCCGCATCCTCCGAAGAAGTAGCAGCATCTGTACCTGTTACAGAACAGGTCCCCTCGAAAACCACACAAGAAGAAGAGACTGTGTCGTCGTCAAAGAAAGAGACGGAGAAAGTGGAGAAAGTGGAGAAAGCAGCTGAACAGACTTCCACCGCCGAGGCCACATCTTCTAAACCTCTTGTTTCCACCGAGGCACCGACCCAAACAGCTAACCCATCTTTGGATGAGCAGCCTTCTGCGGAGCTGCCTGAGGAGACAACTGACACTGCAACCACTGAGGCGCTGCAAACAGAGGTCATAGACTCGGCTGCGCCAGTTGCCGTTGCTGAAAAGGGAACTGGAAGCGAGGGGCTGATCACCAGCGATGATGGGAACGTTCTCACAGAGGGAACGCAATCCATCATTCCACCTGCGGCTGAGACTACAATATTAGACGTACCAACTATGCCTAGCACCGGAGCTCTCCCTAAAGATGCCAAGCAAGACGATGAGCAAGAGCCAGAAGACTGGGCTGGACTTTCGAAGTCGCAGAGAAAGAAGTTGAAGAAGGCCAAACGCGCGTCGGCTGTTGGAAGTGAACAATCTGAGTCTGCAACGCCAGCTGAAGATTTTCTCAAGGACCCTACTTTTGAGTCTCAACTAGCCGATAGTCAAGCAACTCAAGAGCCCACTGACGAGCACAAACCGACAGATGCATCCCGCCAGTCCACCGTTCCAGGTGTGGCCTCTACTAATGAGATAAAACAGGTCGAAGAGCAGCTTGAACCGCCTACTGCGACCAGTGAGCCAACAACCGACCCAACGCCAGCTGAACAACAAGCCACTATCGTCGCTACTCCAGAGCAACGTCCAGGCGATCCCAAGCCACCAGACAAGGAGCCAGATCCGCTTTCACCTTCGTCCAAGAAGGACAAGAAGAAGGCGAAGAAGCAAGCTAAGAAGGCGGTGCCTTTTTTAGCGGATGAGACGCCTGAGGCAGCCAACTCTGATACTCAGCCGTCTCTGTCGATCCCTACACTTTCGGAGACCCAACTACCTTTCTCGGGGATACCGACATCCCATCCCCAGCCTTTTACGAATAATGAGCTTGTTGATAATAATGATGTGAAGATTGAGGATGTAAGGGAGGATGGTGGACATGAAGAGGGGAAAAAAGAGGAGGATTTTGAATATGAGGTGGCGAAAAGGGTAGTGGAAGATGTAAAAGATCAAGGGGTAGGTGAGAGACAAGAGGAGCAGATGGAAGATGTTAGAGCTGAAGCCGGCAAGGAAAAGCTTGCGGTCGTGGAGGGAGAGGTCCCAGAGACCATGACTACAGAGCCGAGCGCTACTGGATTGGAACCAATGGCTGTCGAGCAGCAAGCTGCGCCGATTCCATCGCAAGAGCCTGCAACTGCTGAAGTTGATGCTGCACCGTTGGAGATCGAGAAGCCGACACTCGCTGTGGAAGAGCCTGCGCCGGAGCCAAACATCTTGGACAAATCCACAGTTGTAGAATCATCTCCAGCTGTGGATGTCGAGCCAACAAGCACGCCAGAAGTCTCTATTCAACTGGAGCTGCCACAACACCACGTTTCCGTTCTACCAGACTCTGTGACAGACCAGCCGACTGTTCTTCATCCACAAGAAGAGACTGATAACATTGTGGAAGAAGCTAATTCTACATCGACTGCACAGCCATCACGCCTACTTGACGAAGCTAATGAGGTGGCCGCTCCTTCTAAGAAGAAAAAGAAGAACAAGAAAGCCAAGCACGTATCCACTGCCGAAGAACCGGAACAGCAGACCGGACTTCTCAAGCCTGAGCAAGACATTACGGACAATTTGAGCGAAAGTATCGCAGCTCCAGAACCCAAGGAGCCAGTCGCTTCTTCCATTGAGGATGTCCAACCTCTAGAGGATTCCGTACTCGTCGAAGACAAGGCGGTAGTAAACACTCCTGAGCCGAAGGCTGATGCAAAGCCCACTGAAGAGGAAACTACCTTCAATGACGGTCAGGCAGTCACCGATATCCACGAGTCTGGCCTTTCCCCAATTGCGGCAGAAGAACGCCAGGATGTGCTTACACAGCCCGATACGTCCACACCTGTGCCTGGTTTCGATAACGAGCTAACTAGCGCGGAACCTATACTCAAGGACACAGAGCGTGTAGTTGGTGGCATTAAACAGCCTGTAACTGCTCCTTCAGAAGCTGAGCAAACACAAAAGCCACAATTCGATGAGCCCATCTCTCCCAAGAAGAGTAAGAAGAAGAGTAAGAAGGCCAAGCAAACGTCTAGCATGAATGCGCCTACCGAGACTACTGCTGAGGTTCAGCCTTCACAACCGGAGGGACCACCTTCGGTACAGCTCGAATCAACGCAGACGGCGTCTGAGCCGGTTACTGAGCTTGAAGTATCACGTGAGATGCCTGTTTCTGATCAACACAAGGATACTCAACCATCTGCCACTTCAATTAGCAATACGCCAGCTGATGTGATGGTGACTGTACCAGAGGAACCCACTTCCACGCCTCTGGAGGAGGTACCACAGCTTCCTCTAGCCGACATCAAACGCGAAGCACCTACCGAGACTCAAGAGGTTGTATCTGACCCATCGGCGGTATCACAGCCTGCTTTGCAGACTTCTGGTGACATACAATTGCGCACCGAGGAGCTTCCGGTACCATCGCTGTCAAAGAAAGACAAGAAGAAGATCAAGAAGGCGAAGAAGGACACCGACACTACAACACCTGCCGAAGACGTTGTTTCGGGACTACCACACGATCCAATCACCGAAGCCGTGCCTGCTCAACAAAGCCAGGGGGTTGCTGAGCTAGTCCCCGAATCAACACCAGTTGAAGATGTACTTGTGTCAAAGCCAGACGATGTTGCGTCGGCTTCAGAGAGCAGGGCCGTTGAGCCGACAACATCTGTCGATTCTCGGGTACCTGTCACTCAAGATCCTCAAGAGCTGTCAAATCCTACAGAATCACAGCCCGAGCTAGACGTGGCTGCTGAACCTGTTCAAGTTGCTTCTCAGGTACCGTCGCTCGAAGACCGTACTATCGACCCGCCAGCTGAGACGGCCGATGATATGCCGGTTGCAGTATCTGACCTCGAGATCCCGCCGCATGCCCAGATGGAGCAGCTTTCGACCCCTACTGCAGGACAAGAGTCTTCGCTTAGTTTAGCTGACGCCGCACCTTTGTCCAAGAAAGACAAGAAGAAAGCCAAGAAGGCGAAAGCGAAAGCTTTGGGTAGGGACACACCCGTCAATGAAGATATAGTCGAACCCAAGGCTGAAGCCGCACAAGATGTCAGCGCTCGCAGCAATGAGCCAGTTATCCAGGACGCACTGACTGACGCGCCTCACGACGAAGCCGTGGCCGAGAAATCTGCACTCCCAGTAAACCAGGAATCTTCACTCGATGATAGCGCTCTTCAACTGCTTCCGACGCAGGTCGACAAGGAAGAAATCACGAAGTCTGGTTCTACGACGCCTTCTACAGAGAACGTCCCATCCGTTCCACCGGCTGTCACCCTAGAGTCTATTGTTGAGCAATCGAGCAAAGACGAGCAAGTCCCTACAACGCAAGATGCCCCGGTTGCACGAGAAATCTTGATTGACGAGCCGACTGAGGAAGCTGTCGGCTACGATGCGTCAGTTCCTACTGCCGTGCCAGCACTCATCGAAGAGCAGCCCAAAAATGTACCAGCAGTAGCCGTTGAATCTCAAGCAGAGGAGCCAGCATCGCCAACGATCTCGAAGAAGAAGAAAAGCAAGAAGAGCAAGAAGACAGATGCCATGACGCCAACAACCGAAGCTGTACCCGCAGCTGAGTCTGACAGCATTATCACAGCTGCTGATAGTGTAGTGCCTCTTACAACTGAGGCTCGTGTCTCTTTCGCACCAGTCGTGGATGAGCAGCCCAAGGTAGAGGAAGCTGCAACTCAAGCGGAGGATCTTCCACTGCAGGAGACAACTGTCTCTACACCTGCCACTGAGACTGCACTTGCAGCTAGCGAACGAGATTCAGTGCCACAGACAGCGATTCTGGAAGAAGCCAAGAGTGAGACAGACATGCGAGAGTCGGTTCCTGAACGCAAGCTGAGCAAGAAAGAGCGAAAGAAAGCACAGAAGCAGGCTGCTGCTCTGGCTGATGAATTCAAGGTTGACAGTGAGCCTGCTGTCGAGCCTTCCATCGAGCCGTCCACCGACTATGCGTCAGCAGAACCATCGCCTCTGGCTGATGTTCTCGACGCAAATTTGGTTGAACCTACACAAGACCCCGCCCTAATTGCTCGAGATCCTGTCGTCGGGCGCGAGGGTTCTCGCGAAGTACCCGAACCTGTACGAGAGGATTCAACCGTAAGGACGATCGAGTCACTGCCTGAAGTCGTAGAAGTAGAGAACGTGGTTCCCGTAACTCCCAAAAAAGGCAAGAAGGCTAAGAAAGACATGAAGAGTGCGGCCCAGCCTGTTGTTGTCGATGTCGCAAATGAACCCGTCAGCGAATCGTTTGAACTTCCTGGACAGACAAAGGCATCGGAAGCGCTCGAGATCGAGCCCATCACTACTGGCGCACCGCAGTCTACCGATCCAAAGGATTTAGAGGAAACCGTTCAGGACACGGAGCAGTCAGTGATGATTCCGATCGAAGAGCCATCGAAAGTGGCAGCAAAAGCTGAGGGTGAGCCTTTTCCTGCCGTCAGCGATACTCCGGAATCCGCCGAGCAGCCTAGAACACTAACTGCGTCACAAGAGATGGATATCGCAGTGCTACCGAACAGCGTTCCATCGAGCTTTTCCGAGGTGCAAGACAGTTCTGTTCCTCAAGTTCAAGCATCAGCGCCATCGAATGCAAAGGAATCCGAGCAAAAGCCCTTGCAGGAGCCGTCCTCGGATTTCCTAACCGTCGCGCCGGCTATTGTGGACCTCCAATACCAGACCGAGGAAGTTGAACCACTTCCCAAACCTTCCACATTCCAGCCCGTCAATGAGGCCGCTCACAGATCGCAAGCGACCCGAGAGGTGACAAACGACTGTAGCGATATTGTGAAAGACCTAGCTGAAGCGTCAGCTGAGCCCGTTGCTATCTTGGATGAAACCAGGGATGTGCCAAAGGTATCATCTGAAAACACCGATGCCCAGCCGAGTATCGTCGAGCCATCCAATCTAGAGGCACCTATCCCATCTCCATCAATCATCACAGAGGAAGTGTCCTTTGAAACTCCTAGCTCAAATGCATACGACAAGGGGGTCTCGCCTGTAATCCCCACTGATGCCTTGATCTACCACAATGACAGTTTACCTACGAATACCGAGGTCACAAAGGATATCGAACGACCTACGACACCAATCGTAGGGAACGCACCGACCGTCACTGAGGCTGATGCAGACCAAGTGTCTCATGTCTTCGATGCGGCTCCTGAAGATACCCAGCGAGGCCTTGATGAGCAGCAGCCTATCGAACCCACCGACTCTTTCACTGCACACCATGGAGCGGGCCCTGTTACTCAAGACGATGATGTTCCACCAAACGAGCTATCACCCTCCCTCAAGGCGATTCAAGATGATGCTGCTGAACTGCGACTTCGTGCCGAAGCCCTCGACGCAGATCTCGCCACACAAGGAGACGCTGACAAGTCTTCTGCCACTGAGCCGACTTCTATATTAGATCTGGTAAGAAGGCTTACAAAGAAGGATAAAGAAGAGGCAAAGAAGAGCAAGGGCGACTCTGGTACTCTATCGACGACTCCTGCGACCCAAACTGAGGTTGCGGTAGAGACGAAGGAGGGCTCCAGAATGCCTGCACCTGTTTCTGCGCCCACTCTAGTGGAGGAGCAGGTTCTTGAGGAGACGGGAGCTGTTGGCACACCAATCCCGGTAGAGGAGGGCCTCGTCCCGACCGATGTGCCTTCCCGCAACCTGAGCAAGAAAGAAAAGACAAAGGAAAAGGCCAAAGGGCCCGCGATCAGCTTTGATGAGCTTCACGACACACCAACGCAATCGAGCGTGCCGATCGGCGATATCCCAAAGCCAGCCATCAAGCAGCCAAGGGAAAATTTACAAGTTGCCACTGAACCTTCGGCTAGCACCACCATATCAGACGACACTCCCCAACCCATGCCGCCCATGGATGTTGAGAGAGTGGGCCCTATCGAGCCAGCCACAGTCGAAACCCTAGCTCCGTCGGCCGTCACTGAAGACGTTCAAGAAACCATTGCAGAAGATGAGCCAGTGCTGTCGAGGAACCTTGACAAGAAAGACAAGAAGAAGTTTGAACAAGCTATCGAGTTCCAAGATACGCCAGTGACTTTGTCCCAGGATATCTCTTCCGCTACTGTGGCTGAATCTCAAGAGGTAGCTTTACCTGATTGTGGGGTAACTGCTCCATCTCTAGCACCTGTTGTCGAGAAATCCCCTATAATGAGCGTTGAGACACTCAGTGAGCTCGCTGTGGAGGAACTTGTCGCTGCGCCACAGACATCAAGCCAAGATGAGGAAACACGGATCGATACCTCAATCGTTGTGCCAACAGAGACGACCAAAGATACTCTGCCGCTAGTGGGTCCCGAGCAACAAAAGATGACCATCGATGAGTCACCCGTTCCATCTCAGGAGCTTAGCAAAAAGGACAAGAAAAGAGTCAAACAGGACGCACTAGCCGCGCAGGACCTTGAAGCATCCGCCACGAGGGATGTATCACTTCTGAAAGCCAGCGAGCCGGCTGCTATATCACGACTGCGTGCGGAGCCAGATGTCAAGATCACTGAAGTTCTTCCAGAACCTATCTTGACCGACTACACCGATTCTACACATGTCTCAGAGAGCACCCTGGAGCGAGAACAAGAGCTTGCGACTGTCCCTGCTCTAGCACGCAAAGAGACCAAGAAGGACAAAGAGAAGAGCAAAGAGGATGTGGGAAAAGCCGACGAAGTTCGAGACGAAGAGCCGCTGGTCAATCCATTAGAACTCATGGGCACTCAGCTCCCAGTCCCCATAGACGCCCCAGTTGGCCTCATTGAAGATGCGCCTGTCGCACCGGTAACCGAAAGTCAGCGTGACCTACCTTCAGAGGTCGAACCCCAAGAGATCATCGTCCCAGATGGCAACGCAGAGGAGCCATTGACTGCCGAGTACCCAACAATTGAAGCTACGCCTAAGGCCGAAACAACCACAAGGAACAACAAAAAGCAGAGGCGCAAGTCAATGATCGCTACCACGTCCTCGGAGGAGCCGGCCAATGTCACACCTACCGGTCCAGTCGAAGAGAGAGTCGCCATGCCTGAAGCAAACATCCTGTCGAGAGTTACATCGAATTCTCGCCAGAGGGAGACTGAAGATAGCATACTTCCCGCGGAAAACACGACCGCAACGCCATCAGCGTCCGAGCTGAATGTCGAAGAAGTTTCTAACAAGCTTAAGGGTGTGCATTCTAGATCCATATCCGACATTTCAACCGCTGGTGTTCAAGTCAGAGCCACCGAACCCGACCATACTCCTCAGCAACCACTGTTGCACAAGAAGTCGTCCAAGAAGCACAAGCTAGCAGCGTTGTTCGAGCGCGGCGCATCGCAGGATAGTCCCAGCGCGGAACGTAACTTGCGCAGGGAAGGTTCTGGCAGTGTCAGAAATCTCGCCGAACGATACGAGAGTCAGTCTCGATCTGTCACACCCGTTCTACCCCCATCTCCTGAGAAGCGTTATCTATCTCGACCTGTTACGCCGGTCCTACCTCCATCGCCCGAGAAGCGCCATGTAGCTAGAGTTGCGTCCCGTAGTCAACTTGGCTTGGCGTCACCAGTTCGATCGGATTCGAAGTCGCCAGCAAGAGAGATAGACTTCGCAGCCACCGTGGCCGCCAGTTTGCAAGAGTCTGGTTTTGATCCTGGATATGTGATCAACGACAAGTCATTCCATCGCTCGAACTCTATCTCAGGAGCTCGCGATATCACACCAGATGACGACATTACCGCAGCAAAAGAGAGAGCCAGTAGATCTCGGCTCGGAAGCTTAAGTCGTTCTTCATCGGTCTCTGGCTCTCCAAAACTGCGACCGACGCAGCCTACTGGGCCTGATGTCTTACCACCTATCGAAGTGGCAATGGCACCTACGGACACCGTATCATTCGATCCCCTAGACGTGCTCAATGACCCTGCTTTTGCAGCGCGAAAGTCACCTCCCGGTGTTCTTGAGGAGGCTGATCCTGATGAGTTGGCCGGGTCTTCAAGTCTCAGAAGAACCAAGGGTAAGAAGAGACGTCATCCTCTACCAGAGATACCAGTAGTTGTCGATAAGATGAGCACACAGGACACTGGGGTCGCACAGACTAAACAAGGCAAGAAGTCAAAGAAGGACAAGGAACAAGCTCCACGTCAGCAAGACGGTGTTGAGTATGCAGCTGCAGAGACTCCGGCGATTGAGGCTCTTTCAAATGTGCCTCTTGCTGTAGAGACTCCAGTTGACTCCACGGTCCGCGAGGTTGAGCCTGCCCGGTCCATGCCTCACGCGTCGACCAACACTGCTGTCCTTCCGGACGTACCAACACAAGCAACAAACGTATCAGCCACACCTACTGAATTTGACGACGTACACTCAAGTAGGCGAGATAAGAGGGCGGAATCGAAGAAGACAGTCACAGAAGAGCAACCTGCAGGCAAGGAGGACAGCCTGATCTTACCTGTGACATTCGATCAGGAGCCCCGCTCGCTGACCGCCGAAGAGCCGAGGGAGTACCCATTTCCCCAGGTGGTGTCACAGGAAATCTTGAAGCAGTCGAAGGAGGAAACACACAAGCAGGAGTTGGAGAAAGAGAGGGACATGAACGCATGGGCCCCATCGCCAAAAAAGAAGGGCAAAAAGAGCAGGAATGTTGAAGAAAAGGTTGATGAGGAGTCTACGGCCAGGATGAAAGACGCACTACCAGCTGAGGCACGAACTGCCGATCGTGAAGTTCACAAACGCAGAACACATCCTGTATCTTTCGACGACGAGCGACCCGAGGAAAAGCGCCTACACACATTGAAGTCCACTCAAGAGCCTCAATTTACCAGTGAGAGGTCAGCATCACCGTCGCGCTTTGTCGTGCCAGAGCTCGCACATCTTGAGAAGCACTCCAATGAGCGTGTGTTTAGTACAGGCAACGCCCAATCGTCAACCCGTGGTGTAGGACCAGCCGATGAGCCATCGTGGTCCTTTGCCGGAGTTCAAGACAAGGTCGACCAAGCCACCACCAAGGCTCAGCCGGAGCAGCCTATCGAAACGGCACCACGTAAACTGAGGCGTTCGAAGGAACCGAAAACTCCTCTGAGCGCACCAAAACGTTCGATTGCAACTGATCATGATGCGGACAGCCCGGCTTTGCCAACGCACCCAATGACTCTAGGCACGCCTACCACAAGCGACGAGTACGCTACGAAGGAGCGATCCTCCCATCTTTTCGATTCCTCGCCATCTACGCGCGCATATGGCACTTCACCAGCAGCACCGCAAACGCCTGCTCATGATACCCACATGGTCGTTGAAACTCCATCAAAAGATGTCAGTGGATCGTCGCGGGCAGGCAAGAAACCGCGCGTCGAGTCGCACCAAGGCCGGGCATCGCCTACTAAGGAACTCACACAGAAGGAGCCATACCAGTCCTTGTTTGGAGATCCGAATGAGAAGAAGAGCGAGACCCTTTCATCGACTATCGCAAAGCCCGAACGTACTAGCACTCCAGGCACCAAGCAGCTTGAATCTATTACAGAAGTCAGTCCAGACGACACTACCACCAAAAAGAAGTCACGGTCAGCAGCCGATGTGGGTGTATCTGATCGAGGACTGAAGTCAGCTCGTCGCACTGAGAGTCTCAGGCAACTTTCTGATCGTCTAAGATCACCTCCGCCTAGCACACCAACACCTACAGGTCGTCGGAGTGTGCAATCCACAGTCGAAAATGTAGGCGGAAGAGACTCGCCATGGCAACAAGTCAACGAAGGCATCGATCGAACCATGGCCCTCAGTCCCGCGCGCCGTATGCCACGATCATCCCCAAGCGCAGACCCGTTGAAGCAGCGTATTGGTGAGCAGCGGTCACCTAGTGTTCAAAGTCAACGCTCTCTGAGCAATATCGCAAGACTGAGGTCTCCCGACCAAGAGCGGCCTATGAGCTCTTTGAGCAACCATTCGGAGCGTTCGTTGCGAAGAGTGGACCGGCAAACGTCAGGTGACCTGAGATCAGCCTCGAGGCTTGGCGCGGCCAGTGCGCAAGACGCTAAGAGCGTGCAACCTAATCTCTCAAGCACGGCGCTCGCGGCAGGAGCAGCAGCCATCGCAGGTATCGCCGCCCCACCGGTTTACGACCCAGTCCGGGGTACAGGTAGAGGTCGCCGGACCAGTATGGCTGAAACCTTTGTAAGTAGTTTGATGTTGTTGTAAAGCTCGTTTCCTGTTACTGACTGTAATTTACAGGAAGCATGGGGTGAAGCCCAAAGGTCCCCTAGCTCGCCCTCACGACCACCAAGCGTACGCAAACGTCAAAGCATGCAAATCATGGATCTGCAGACCCAACTCGACCAATTAGCCACGCAAAATCAAGCTGTCGAGGATGCTAAGGCCAAGGCTGAAGAGGCCTTACAGGCTGCGCAAAGTCAGCGACAGATTGACGAACAGCTTGTAGCCGAGGAAGTAGAAGCACGTGACCGCCAAATTCACCAAAGGGATATTGACATCGCGCAACTCAAGGATACACTTCAGCGGCTACAAGAAGAGATTGCACGCCTGAATCAACTCAACAATGCACTAACAGATGCCAATCGCAACCTGACTAACGATGCGAATGAACGGTATGGGCAACTTCAGTCCGAGGGACAAATGGTGCATGAGCAATGGCAATCATCGCAGCGAGAGCTGGAGAGCCTTCGCAGTCAGTACGCACAACTTCAGTCAGAAGGCCAGGCCATGCAACAACAATGGCAAACATCGCAACGAGATTTGGAAGAACTTCGCCGCCAGCATACCCAGATGCAGCGAGGTTTGGCAGATGCCGTTCGCGACGAAGTTGGCGAAGCACTGGATGAACGCAACGCCGAGATCGACCGCTTAACTGCAGAACTCGCAACCGCGCGCGAACAGATCAAGAACCTCCAGAAGCAGATCCTAGCTTCCAAGAAGCCAAGCGAAAGCTTCCTCACTGTCCGCGATGAGGACTACTTTGACAGCGCCTGCCAACAACTCTGTCAACATGTTCAGCAATGGGTTCTCCGATTCTCCAAGTTCTCGGATACTCGTGCGTGTCGCCTTTCGTCCGAGATCGCAGCCGATACTCGACTGGATGCGTCAACTCGCCAAAAGATCGACACTAGGCTGGACAATGCCATTCTCGATGGCTCAGATGTCGACGCACTTCTGGCGGACCGCGTCAGGCGTCGAGATGTCTTCATGTCAGTGGTCATGACTATGATTTGGGAGTACGTCTTTACTAGGTACCTTTTCGGTATGGACAGAGAACAGCGCCAGAAACTCAAGGCGTTGGAGAAGACGTTGTCGGAAGTTGGCCCACCTCGCGCCGTGGCACAATGGCGAGCTATCACACTTACCCTTCTTGCAAGGAGAGAGCCTTTCATGCAGCAGCGCGCCCAGGACACAGAAGCCGTGGTACATGAAATCTACAGCACGCTTTCGACACTGCTTCCGCCACCATCGCATCTGCAGAAGCAGATTCAGGAATCACTGCGCAACGTCATGCGCTTAGCAGTTGAACTATCAATCGAAATGCGGACCCAACGCGCGGAATACATCATGCTGCCGCCGCTACAGCCTGAGTACGATACCAAGGGCGACCTTGTGGCCAAGGTCACGTTCAACGCCTCTCTCATGAACGAACGGTCAGGCGAAACAACGTCCAACGACGAGCTCGAAGCCCGTGGTGCAGTAGTCAAGGTAGTACTATTCCCACTAGTTGTCAAAAAGGGCGACGATTTCGGCGAGGGCGAGGATGAGATTGTGGTTTGTCCAGCGCAAGTGCTAGTGACAGGAACTAGGAGTAAAAAGGTAGTCAGGGTCATGAGTGGAGCCATGTCGATCAATCGTCCTGACTCACGATCAAGTCGCATCAGCCGGGTAACGAGCGTCGCGCCTCCTGAGAGTACCATCATGGACTACGAGCAAGGTGGAAAGAACATGTTCTAGATGAAGGAGTGATTGAACTGTCCACGTTTTTGTTTTTTGTATTGTTCGTGTAGCGTGGGAGGATTTTGTATTTGGCGTTCAGGATGGGAGAGTTGATCATTTAGCTACTTGACGATGTTTCCTATGTTTGGGCAGCGACAGTGATTTGGATACAGTATTACTTGGAACGTATATATTACGATTGTATATCTAGTCACGACAGCTAAGAGGCTGCGAATAATAATGGTTATTGCACACATGTGTCCCTATCCCCTTTGCGATGATCACTTGGGCCTTGCGACACCGGTATCACGATAGGCAGGGCCAGTTCCTCGGCTGTTCGCGCCATCAGGAACGCTTTAGCCTAGTTTTGGCTGACCCCGCTCCACCTGGCGGGTGGCACAGCACCAAGACGGAGAAAGAGCATCGTAAGACGGACCGTTTAAAGGGAGCCGACGCGCGACATGTGAAGTGTATCTGTCTGCTAGTCGCAGTTTACACGCGCTACCGTCACTACTACTACTCCAGGCACCAAACAACCTTTGTTGCTGTCGCCATGCCCATTCGAAGCGATTGGACCCTTGCGCGTGAAGGTAAGTGCCTATAGCCGGTGCCTCCCATTCTCAAGGGTCACAGACAAGGTTTTGTCAATTGGCGCGCTCTACTGACGCGGTACACAGGCGTGACGGGCGATACCATCAGTCGCATCATCAGATACACGGCCTTCAATCCCGCCCTTACGCTTCCCCTCGTCCTCCTCGCGCGCTACACACAGCAAGGCAACCTCCTCGCTCAAGACCATGCCTCAGTGTTCAAGGGCTTGAAGACACTGCTTGGCCTGGGTGCGCTCAGTACCGTCAACGCGTGGCTAAACAGCGGAGTGACCAACAACTGGACCAAAGACGAATATGTGTGGAGTCGCGAGGTTGTCGTTGTGACTGGAGGCAGTGACGGTATTGGCAAAATCGTAGTACAGCTACTGGCCGAGAAGGGAATCAAGGTTGCAGTCCTCGACGTTCAGGACTTGACGTATGAAGGTATATTTCTAACCCTTGAGTCTGCTAGACTACCTTAAAGAGATGCTCACACCCACCAGCACCACCGTCCGTCCGCTTCTTCAAATGCGACCTCAGCTCCCCCGACGCCATCGCCGACGCAGCTTCCTCAATCCGCTCCACACTGGGAAACCCCACGGTCCTCATCAACAATGCAGGTGTCGCACGCGGCAAGACCATCCTCGAGTCGACCGAAAAAGACATCAACCTGACCTTTAAGGTCAACACTTTCAGTCACTACTACCTCGCCCAGCAGTTCCTTCCTAGCATGATTGCCAACAGCCACGGCATGATCGTCACCGTCGCCTCTGTCGCCGGCTACCTCGCTGCCCCCTCCATGGTCGACTATGCTGCATCCAAGGCCGCTGCACTATCCTTCCACGAAGGTCTCTCCGCCGAACTCACCGCTCGCTACAACGCACCCAAGGTAAGGACTGTACTCATGGCTCAAAACTATACACGCACTGCTCTGTTCGAAGGCTTCGATTCCAGGGGCGTCTTGTATCCCGAGACGGTTGCCGAGAGTATTGTCAAGGCCGTGTTGAGTGGCAAGAGTCAGCATATTGTTCTGCCCGAGACTGCCTGGTTCATGCTGCCAAGGATAAGGGGCTGGCCGTTGTGGATGCAGTATGGCCTGAGGAAGAGGCTGGGTAAGCTTATGAAGGATTGGAAAGGCAGGCAGGTTGTACAGCCTAGTTTGGCAGGAGGAGAGAATGAGAAGAGGGTTGAGGATAGTACTGTGCTTGTTGATGCTGAGTAGGATCGAGCATGACGAGTCAAGTAATTTTATGGTGACGAGAGTAATTTACAGTTCTTCCGAAGTAGCCTTGTAGATACCAGATGTTGATACCTCTTTTGACTTGTAACATAATCTTGAGCTTCTCTTATGTATCCATGAATGATCTCACTACTCGACAGCAATGTGTAGGAGGTTGATCCTCATAGTACAGTTGATGTGATGAATGAGTGTCTCATACCGTACCGTGAGCTGAAATGAGCTGTTTTCGAATGACGTAAGCTTATGGGTTGTGCATCCGTCAACATCCTCACAGAGCAAGCACGATACTTTCGGAGCTTCCGTCACTTCCCATCTCGCTGTGTTCAAGCTTCATAGGATCCCGCAGCAAACATGGCGCATCTTACACGCGATGAAGTCCTCAAGTCAGGCGAGGTATCCGAGGTATACAGAAAGGTAGTTTAGCTCCACTTCTTGCCTGAGATAGTTTGTCGCCGTCTCCAACGACTTTCTTCCAAAACAGAAACAAAAATCACAAGTCGTCATCTCATCAGATTCCCAGGCTTTCGAGTCTCGCCCTGTAGACATCACTGGCGACGACTTTTTCGCCCACCGCGCATCTCGTGCAGACCACCTCTTGCGCCTACGCCATCTCTACCCGATATCCGGCCCTATCCCAGATCTTGTCCAAGAGAGTTTACATGATGTACCGACTCGAGATGGGGCATCCATCCGCGTTAAAGTCTACCAACCCGTTGCCGGTCCGCCGGAAGATGGTAGTCCGCTCATCATGATGTACCATGAAGGAGGCTGGAGTATGGGCGACTTGACAGACGAAGATCTGAATTGCAGGATGTTTGCCAGAGACCTGAGGGCTGTTTGTGTGAACGTTGAGTACCGGTAAGGATACATATACGTCCCTTCTCGTTTGCTCTACTTTCTCTTATCGCTGCTTGTTCAACGAGAAGAGTACATGCTTACCCATTCCCTCTAGTTTAGCACCCGAGCACAAGTTTCCCACTGGAGTGCATGACTGCTATGACGCCTTACTATGGAGTCTGAAGAACAGCGCCACACTTAACGCAACACCCTCCCGCGGTCTCCTTGTCGGCGGCGCATCAGCAGGAGGTAACATCGCCGCCGTCCTCGCTCTCCTTGCTCGAGACGAAAAGCTCAGTCCACCCATCACCGGCCAGTATCTATGCGTCCCCGTACTACTCCCTGATACAAACGTCCCGCCTAACCTGGTTCCACTCTACCTATCTCGGACGCAAAGTACCAACGACCCAGTTTTGAAAGGTATTCCACCGGGTATGATTGAGGAGATTTATGCTCCTGACCCTAAATCTCCTCTATGGGATCCATTCAACCACCCAGATGGGCATGAAGGTGTGGCAAAAGCCTTCTTCCAGGTCTGTGGCTTGGATCCGTTGAGGGACGAAGCGGTGCTTTACGATAGAATTCTGAGAGAGAATGGAATACTGACGAGATTTGAGTTGTACGCCGGGTATGGCCATATGTTCTGGACAAACTATCCGGAGCTGGAGGAGAGCGACAAGTTTGTCAAGGATACGTTGAATGGTGTAAAGTGGTTGTTGGAGAAATAGAAGGGATTTTGGATCTTATCATTCAACATTACAGCATACTAGTATCCATATATCACGATTGCTTGCCTACTCCATGACTTATAACCTCCACTCAGCGATACCGCTAGTCTCTCCTGGCATCGCCCCACTGATACCCATTCCTCCAGCTCCATTGCCCTCTCCTCTCGTTCCAGTATCCCTGCATTCCTTGTGGATTGGCCATATGCCTCCACTGTCCCCAGTTGAAGTGCCCCTCGGGTACTTTAGCTAGACTGTTCTCTGTAATGCGATCGGGGTGGCGGTAATCAGCCCAGCGGATCCGCCTCCCTGTCATGATGGGGAATTTGATGAGCAAAGATGGGGTTGAGTTCAACAAGGCAATCGAATCTTTAGTCAAGTTGTATTGGCTGTATGGTGATGGTGATGCAAGTAGAATGCTGAATAGAGAGACAAAGTAGAAAGACATGAAGATTAGGAACGAGTAGACGCAGGCGTGCAATCGAGATCTGAAGTATTTCATGCGTGTCTTCAGCCATCAAGACGTCGAGTTGTCGAGCTAATGTGTCATACGCTGTACAACATTCACTATCACGGCACGACGAAACTGACGGCGACAGACTCCGTGACAGTACTTGTGTAGTGCATAGTCTCAAAGCGAAGACATTGAATGAAAAGCTTGTATTGGGTACGGAAATACACTGTGGGTATAGAGCCATGCTAATGACGACCGTGAACCAGTAAGAAAGCCTCTGTTATCGGAAAGTTGAATAAACATGTGTGTAGTACATGTAGCAGGATAGTTGGAAAGCGCTCATTTGAAAGTAGATCTATTCTATGATCCCCTCGGACTGTTTGAAGGCGCCTTGTTGACCAAACTTGAGAAGAAGGACCTCAGCTTCTCGTTGTCGTTGATGTTGGTATCCTGTGTCTTTGGGGGTGGTGTCTCGGGCTCATCTAATCGGTTGGCTTGCCGGTCCTGGATTGAAGTCAGCAAATCTTCGGACAGTACGCATGAATCCTCCACGTACCTGTAGTCTCTTCACCATCTCATCGGCATTGACTTGAATACCACCCATGTTGAACTGTACAGGTCCGATATGCTCTTCGACAACTCCTGATGCATCTTCGGTCCACGCTCTAGAAGCCGAAGGGTCTTGTTCCTTGCGCGCAGCTTTGATGGCAGCTTCATTTTCGTCTTCCCGCCGTAGATGTTCAAGGACGTTGACTTGATCAGCAAGGAAGGCCTGTGGATCCTTGCTAGACACCTCGAGCCCATCGGCTTGTTTCGATAAGCTGGAAAGTGCGTAATCTGACTCTGGGTTGCGGATCGTTTCCTCATAGATTGATGTCGCTGAGGGACCCTCCTCTTCTTCTTCTTCCGCAACCTGTGTGTCTTCGCCGTTGGGCTGTGCTTCTCCTTCGATGGGTGCAGATACCTGACCGTTGGTTGGGCGCATGTGCTGGGGTATATCAATGTCAACACTCCATTTCTCGCTGATGCCTTCAACATCAAACCCTTCTCGTAGAATACGAATCTTGGCCCATGAATCCCAGTTGGGTGGGACCAATACTCGGTCACGGTCCGTTACGTTGTGCCTGAGCTGCTCTTGTTTGAGCAGAGACTTGATGCCCAGGGTGGAGTGAATGAGTGTTTGCAACGACCCCGGTGCTGTAGGCATGGTGTAAATCAAGCTTGAGCCGTGCTTGAGAAGGATGGTGCGCATGTACTGTAGTATGAAGTCGAACTCCTCCTCTTTCCAGCCCCTCTCCTTTTCGAGAGTCTCGATCTTGTCAGCATTCTGACATACTACGCATAACGGTATGCCGAGTGGCTCATCCCATTCTCCGGGCCCAAGTGGTATCTTTACGTTCTCCATGCTGCTGCCTTCAGCTGGCAAATTGCGTCCTTTGTCTTGCAGTGTTTGGATGTTCTCTTCCAAGACGACCTTTGAGTTATCATCGAGGGAGACGATGAGTGATCGCAGCACTCTGATCCAGTCGCGAAGTTGCCGTATCCACAGCCATGGGTGATTCCAGTCTAGGAGTATGACGATAAGCATGTGCGGGAGGGTTCGTGGGTTGAGGTAGGGCTTGATAAGGGGGGTGAATGAGGGCGAGGGGTTAGCAAGGAGGTAGAGCGAAAGACGAGCAAGTGTGTCTGGCTTTGTTAGCAAATCCTGGTTCTACAGCCAGCGACGCTACATACCCTCGTGATCCGTATCCAGCACATCCTGGTATGTGTAGCCCAGGGCGAATTGGTTCGCAATTGGCGGCTTCCTGCCTCGGTCTGGCGGTCTTCGGTTGTTTGCAGAGTCTGTGGACACCGACTCGAGGAACTCTCGCTGTGTTTCTGGAGTTCCGCCTGGGGTTGAGCATTAGCTATGTCCCCTATTCTGCCTATTGTGGCCCTCACCCAGCACGAGTAGACTCTTTTCTGGCAGTCGCTTCCCACTCGAAATGTTATCCAGCATAGGCTTCCATATCTCCTCCTTGTCCGTGTCTCTGCTCCCCGGGCGGTCGTGGCTTCCGGGGACGCGTGTGGGGAAGTTGGAGGTCCGACGCGCGCTCGCCATTGCGGAGGTGGTGCGGAGCTTCGTCGCCGGTGACACGAGGCTTTGTCGACTAAGCGATGATGTGTGGATGCTGTATACAAGATATGCGACGGAGGCGGAAAGGCTAGTGCGGCACCCGAGTGAATGTCTAGTGGGGTTGCGGTGTGCTTGTTTGGCCGCATTGTTCGCTGGTACCTTTTCTGCAGGGATGCTGCTGCTGGCCAAGCCCGAGCTTCAAAAGTTCCAGCGGACCTTCCTGCTACCTCCGCCCACACCAAAACAAGTCCCGAATACATCCTCAGCGCCATGTTCAGCATTTCAGCCGCATGAGAGACCTCTTCCAACACCCGCAATGCACATCTGATCCACCTACTCAACGCTAGTGCACTACGACCCTACTCTAAACCCACCCTCCGAACGCGCCTTCCTCACCTCTCCCACATCACCGCTCCGTTTACACTACGCCCACCATGAACTCGGTGCGCGCCATCCAGCAGCTCAATAAGCGCGAACTCGAGGCAGGCATCAATCCCGAAGGTTCATGGCATACCGACTACCGGGACACGGCCTTTGTCTACATCGGCGGCCTACCGTTCGAACTTTCAGAAGGTGACATCATCACCATATTCTCCCAGTACGGCGAGCCAGTATGGATTAAGCTGGCGCGCGACAAGGAGACGGGAAAGTCACGAGGTTTCGCATGGATCAAGTACGAAGACCAGAGGAGTTGCGACTTGGCCGTGGACAATCTAGGTGGAGCGAGTATCATGGATCGCATCATCAGGGTAGATCATGCGCGATACAAACCCAAGGACGACGAAGACATGAGGGACAACACTATGGGAGAGCTCGATCTCGACCCTGCTCATGAGTCTGATGGTGGCAGAAGGAAGCGGAGAAAGACAGAGAGCGAAAGCGACTCGGACGACGACCGACCATTGCTACGGGAAGAGATCGAATTAGGGCGCCTGTTGGAGAAGCTGGACGAAGACGACCCTATGCGTGACTCTATGATCAAGCGCCAGCAAGAGAAAGTAGACGATGCACTCAAGAAGCTGAAGAAGCAAAAGCATAAAGAAAAGGAGAGGGCAAAGCGCAAGGACAGGCATAGCCGGAGAGACAGGTCTAGAGATCGGGACCATGACAAGGACAGGAGACGGATCAAGGATGCAGGGGAAGACGATGAGCATGATAAGCGGTCACGGCGAAGGAGTAGAAGTCGTGACAAAAGCCCGCATGACGACCGTCGACATCGCAAGTCAAAGCCACGGGAAAACTCGGAAGATAGAGAGCGTCGCCATCGATCGGAACGAACTCGAGACCGAAGCGAGGATTCTAGAGACAAACGCGATCGACATCGAAGGCGCGAGCGAAGACATTCAGATTCTGAAGGTGATAACACAGGGCGATCTCGGAGGAAACCGTCGCGCTCACCATTGCCGTATCGAGCTCGTTCTCCTTAATATTTAGACGATCAGTGTGTCTACAGCTATGGAAAGAAGAATCTGGCCCTTTCCCGTAGTACAATTCACCGATATTCCCTGGCTATCATTTCAAGGCTCAGTCTTACAGCCCCGCCTTTCCGAGCCGCCCCTAGCCCTCTGTGACCATTTCTTACGAGAATTTGAGTTCTCCAAGCCGAGAGACCTTATTTACTAAGTAGCTCGGCATAGATAAGCCAATTTCAACTTCAAGCCGTCTAACCGGTTGAGTGGCTCGACATGCAAATCTTGCACTATCTCGTCCTTTGGTCTCGGTACTAACTCCCCTTAGCAAAGCTTTATTCTGCAACGATTATTCAATCTGAAAATTAGGTTGCGAAGATAGGCGGACCTGGTCGCTATAATCCCACACGTATTAGCCTATAATGTTCTCTTCATCCCGTCCAGATACTTACTTCCATCTTCATGAACGCCTAGATTACAACATGAGAGCATAGGCATATATCTTAAGCCTTCGATCTGTAAAAGCACTGTCATCAGGGGGAGTACGCATATCTGGCTCCTCTCTAATCACAAGGGGGTACGACAGATGGTTCGTATCTGGAGTTGAAATTTGACATGAACACACACGCTAGACCCGTAAACAGTACAAGGATCTCACAACCCGTCTACGACAAGCTGATAGAGATGATCATTGTCATAAGACAGAGGAACTGATCACCCAGTACACGAGTCTCCGATATGCAGCAATTTTTACAGTCTAACCAGCAACGTAGCTTCCATGTTTCTCTCCATGACTTCACAGTTGCTCCTTGTTTCTAAAGCGCAAAGTCCACTCGTAAGGCAGGCAGAACGTGATTCGCAACATGGTGTAATGGGCGCGTCAGGGTCGCACGGAACGTCTGTGCTTGTATCGCCATTGGGATAGTAACAGATGTTGCCTGTCCGGGACAAACGGATCAAATAGAGTACAAGAAACAGAATACTGAGACACACGATGATGCCGTTGACTAGAAATGAAAGAAGGAGATGTCTGCAGCATATAGCAGATACTAATTATGCTGTTATGACCCCTAAATCCTCAGTGTTACACTGCATCTCCGAGGCGTAACTGCTGTAGCATGGTTACACTGTCATAGAGAGAGAGAAAAGTTAATAATGCATGCAGAGAGGCCCATGTCCGATCTAATGTCGGGTTGTTGACCCACTATATTCGTTTGGGTATATATACGCACGCCACCCATCCTTCAATCCATATCACCCTTATGCAAGTTGCTTTTGGCCAGTGACTGGGCATACAGCACCATCTGCTGCTCCGTCTACGCTTGGGTGTGTAACCACCTTGTTCTTATGGTGTCCAACTGTTGCCTTGGTGACAGGGCATACGTCGCCCTCACTCGCCTTAAGCATGTCTGGGTGGTCGGGAGGAAGAACAGTGGTAGCGGTGCCTACAACAGGGCAAAGGGCATCATCCATCTCCTGGGCCTTGGTCTCCTTGACAGTGTTCTTGAGAGCGGGGCATGATGTAGCCTCGTTGCCTTGGGTGGGGACGGGAGGGTGCGAGTGTAGGTTGTGGTGGTGGTCGGTTGTGGCTCCTACTACAGGGCACTATCGTCATGTCAGTCTGGTTCGAACACAAGGAAGGTACTTTCGAGTACGTACAACTTGGCCATCCTTTGCGAGATCGATAGAAGGATGGTTCGGCGGGAGGACATCATTGGTGGTTCCAATCACGGGGCAAGACATGTTGATAAACTGCTGTTGTTGTTGATTACAAAGTCGGATGGCAAAAGTTGTGGCTCGAAAAGAAGTGAAGAGGGGTATCAACAATCAATATGGACTTGTTAGCAAGCGCCAGACTCTTACTGCGGCTTGCACGGCCGCCTCGAAGCTACCCCAGATTCGCAGGGGTCATGCCACTAGCGCCTTTGTCAGCTGCTTCACCTTACTGCTTATTGGACAACGCGTCGACTCGATGCCCCACAACGCGCGCCTTTTGAAGCTTCTACGGACAGCTAACCTTCCAGCGTGATCCTGTAAGTCACTTGCGGAGGCACCATCCAACCAAACAACCTAGAATCGCAAGAATGTACCTAGGTCATGAAGGACGGAGAAGCATATAGACGACGAACCACAGACAGCCATCTTACAAGCTCAATAGATACTAGGATCACCACGCGACAGCGGTAATTGCACTAGAGGACGATACGCGATTATTCTACTCGAGCTTTATCTATCGAGCTGAGTTTAGAGACTTGGCATACTCGGACCAACAAAACTCTGTCTAAAGTACTTACAGCCTTCATCTATATGATCGGAGCAGGCCCAGCCATAGCCAGAGTCTTTGTATACGCGTTTCTGAACCCGATGCGCGTCATGACGTGTGCCATGTCGGTGTTATTTAGGGTAACCAGGACCCCACCAGCACGTCCTCTCCAAGCGCCCCATCGGCGCGCCAATTCGACTTGGATACCGCGCTCCAAGTTTCGCCGAACGAGGAAGCCCATCATCATCCACTTGCCAAGGTCCTCTAGCACGTCCAAATCTGTCATGACGCCTCCTTGCGTTGGTCGGACGTATATACCGTCAATATACACTTCCTCTAGGCTACTACAGCCGAAAATTGTCTCCAGTTTGAAGCGATTAATAACCTCAGGAAGGGGAAGCGATTTGCGCTTATAACTTGTGGATTCGTTACCTATGCTTACCTTGTCGACATGGAAGGTCATGTCGAGTTTGCGCAGCTTTTTGCAAACAATGGCCAAGTCTAAGCTCGGGTTGGTCAGAGCTGGTGAATTGCGTCCATGATTGAACCAGTGCATGTGTGGAAAGTTGAGATGTCTCACCGCCTCTTCACCTCCGTTACTCGGAATCGCCTTGAGGAACTTGCTAAACCAAGTCGCAATTTTGAAATCCGTGTTGCGAAACATATACTTCAGATTGAACTGCTCGGTCCGTCGCAGCATCATAACGAGGACTTCCTCATGCATTTGATGGCTTACAAATGCAAGGTTTGGCAACCAACCCATGGGACATCGACCTGTACTAGCCTCTGGGAATGCTTTCGCCTCTTGATTGTCGCAAGCAATAAGCTCCCAGGGATACTTCCATGTGCAGCATGGGTTACTGAACTGATCGTAGTGCTGGTGCTTACTCAGGCGACCAGCATCACTCTCGAGCAAGAGGTACACGTGCGTGATATTCTCTCGGAGCTCCCCAGGCAGGCTGAGAAATCGCTGGAACCACTGGTAGTCTGGGCAAGCATACGAGACGTAGTCAATCACTACCGAGAATTCGCGGAAAGCGGCAATCTTTGGGTCATTCCAGTTATCGAAGTCGTTGGTATACTCCATGTACTGTTCAATCATCTCAACCAGATCTCGAAAGACAACACCTTCAGCGCGACCGAGGCCATTGGTGGTTTCGTACATGTATGTGACGGCTGTCGGGACATCGCGGTAGTCGAGTATGTTGGGTGTCCACCAGTATTGGTTCTGCCTACGGTCGCAGAAATATTCGTCATCCCAGCGTTCGGTCCAGACATGACCCCAAGCACACCAGAAGTAAACATTCTCGAATGAAGCTACCATATCCAGAAAGATTATGTCTTCGAATGGTGTGTATCCCATATGGCGATATACTCTTTGCAGTGCGTCTGGCAAGGGCGGGCAGGAAAGCAGATCCATTGGCGTAGGATTGTAGGCGTACTTCATAGTCCTCATACCAGCTCTAACCATGTCGAAGAATTCTCCTTCGGCGGAGGGAGGGTTGTAGGCATGTGCTATTGACTTCAACCCAGCTCGCATCATCTTGAAGAACTCGCCGTCAGCCGACGTCTTCTGATGCTCATACTCGATATAACCTATGCATGCATGACTTAGACGTTGGAAGACATCGTCATCGTTGAAGCGAGTTTCTACCCAGTCTTCCACATAACCGTATTCGTTGGCGTACTCGATGTAACCTTCCGCGATCTTCCCAAGCTCCTGGAAGGCTAAAAGCAGGGATATGTTCTCGAACTGGTCCTTGGAAGCGGGCTTTTCCTCGATCGTTTGTACAACATCTATGTAGGTTTTCTGGATATCCTCCTAGGATTCATCAGCAACCATACTAGAGGAGAAGACTGGAACAGACTTACTGATAAAGGGTAGTTAATGCTCTTGACCATTGGTAGATTTGATATATTGGGTTGAGAGAATTTTACACCTTCAGGTTGAGTTTACTGGACCTGAAGAAGGGTAATACTACTATAAAGCTGGGATTAATATAAAGCCAAGAAGGGGGTGCCTGGAAAAGGGGAGCCCAACAGCAGCGAGTGCAAGCTGTTGATGCTCACGGAACAGTATGTACGTCTGTGCACTCTTGCCTGCTACGGCTCAGGCACTAGAAATATGTAATTCTCGGAAGAGTGAAAGGGAGTTCGAGTATAATGTAAGTTTTACCTTGTAAGTTTGTTTACATCAAGCTCGTTGAACAGCTTGTATGGATGCTAACATGTGCATAATCAGAAACAACAATTTACAGACTTTATAAGAAATTTCGAGGATGACGGATGTGCGCGCAATTGCAGTACCGTGGTTGCTATCCATTCCAGCCATGGTATTGCGATAAGCCGAACCGACGACTAGCCACTCACAAATCCTGAAATCCATATTCTCCACATGTAAAAGAGGCTCTCGAATCAAAATGTCGCAAACGCAAAAGCCTCGAGGATGACATAAAACGATGTTGAATACTGTTAACTCGTTCTACCAACCTATTCTACTACAATCTCACCTTCTTGCCTTATGTCACGACTGCTTGCTCCCACCCAAACCGCATACCTGCCTCGCTGAAGCTCCCATGACTGCGCGGTAACATTCCAGACACTCAGATCGCGCCTGTCCAATGCAAATTCAACCTCTCGACTTTCGCCAGGCTGCAATAAACCTACGCGTTCGAAACCTCTCAGCTGCCTTTGTGGCGCATTGGGTACTCCCAAGTACAGCTGCGCCACCTCATGACCAGCGACCTTGCCAGTGTTGGTAATGGTGACTGTGGCGCGGTACAACACTTGCCATAGCCATGGATGACCTCCTTGTACAATCGGCACAGACGATGACGGGAAAGCAGAAAGACTCGCGTTCGCCACGCGTTCAACTGTCATGTTTGAATAATCAAATGTCGTGTACGAAAGGCCGTAACCGAACTCATACTGTGGTGTGATGTTCTGCGCATCGAAAGCGCGGTAATCGATATACAGACCCTCGGTAAAGTTCGATTGCAAGAAAGCCGGGATGGAGAGATCGACAGTTCCGTTCAGCAAGTGGCCGTAATCAGACTCTTTCCGAGCGACAGTATATGGCAGGCGACCAGAAGGGTTCACATCGCCATACAAGACATCGGCGATGGCGTTGCCACTCTCCTGGCCGGGGACGCCGGCGAAGAGAACGGCGGTGATGTTTGGATGGTCGATCCAGGCGTCTACGGTGCGGATACCAGCATTGTGAATAACAACGATCGTGTTTGAACAGTTGGTAGCAACGTTGTTGACGAGCTGATCACTAAACTCGTCTGTGAGGGAAGTGCGATCGAAGCTTTCTGATGCGTAGGCGTTGATGAAGACGAGACATGCATCGGCGTTGGCGTATACAGTTGGGTTTACACCGAAGAAGTCCCACCGTAGTGTTCCGCGATCTGCAATGATACGGTCTTGGATAGCCTTGAAGGGACTGATCACGTATGGCGGTGTGCTGGAGCCCGAACCACCTGCTGTGATCAGAGTGCCGTTGAGTGTATTCCAACCGAAATTCTCTTCGTAGCCGCCACCGAAGCGGGAAGGGTTGTTCCAAGGCTGAGCTTTCACTTCAGCGTCATAGCCATAGATGTTCAGAAAACGAGGATTGCGAAGCGGTAGGGTGTTGTTGAAGTTCTTGACCAGCACGGTTCCGGCAGCTCCAATTTCTCTGATGAGTGACCCATGGTCTTCGCGTACATCCACAATCTCGTGTTCTACGTTGTATGGATATACAGCGTTTTCTGGAAACCCTTCGTTCTGGTTGAGATAGAACCACGCTGCAAGAAGTCGTGTATTCATGTCATCCAGTCTCTCCGTTGTTACGGATCCATTGTTGACAGCGTCAGTAAGATTTCCGCCCCAGAATTTAGCGACTGGCATCACTACGTCAAGGCCTGCATTCGCTGAAGCAACACCAGCATGTTGTGCGTCCCAATCGGATACCTATAGGTTATTAGTGACGTCTTGGTAACAGTCGGTATAGTACATACGACAAAGCCCTCAAATCCTAATTCTTCCTTTAGGATGCCATTGAGAAGCTTGCTGTTCTGACATCCGTATGAGTTGTTCACACGCTGGTATGAACACATCAGCGAGCCTGCTCCTTCGCGTAGGGCGTCCATGAACGGCCACGCATAGAGCTCGTGTAGTGTACGGTCGTCTACATTTGAGGAGACTGCCTCGCCCTCGTCACCGGGGCGCCGCCTATACTCTTGCTCTTGCGCAAGCCAATGCTGTTGGTGCTGTCAGCTTCTGATTCGTATGAATACAATGAAATCGCATACCTTTGGTGTAGCAATCACGCCCTCCTTTTGTGTACCTCTGGTAATAAGCGCACCGCCAATACCGGCAAGGTACGGGTCTAGATGTAGGCGTACGAACTTAGTATCCGTGTCACATGCAGTTCGTATATGGACACTTACCAGCACCAAGACCTTCCCAATTCCTGCCACCGCGCACGACTCTTCCAATAGGGCCTATGAATGGGCCAAGAGCAACATGAATCCCTTTGCCTCTATATTCTCTACCAAGAGCATGACCGTACCTGAGCATCAGGTCCCTGTCGAAGGTTGCTCCAAGATGAATGCCAGCAGGAAATGATGACACGAACTCCTGTCCTCGCACACCTGCAGGAGCATCCGCAAAGCATAACTCTGGAATCTGGAGACGGGGAACAGCGCCCGTTTGGCCTACACAGGGCCCAGAGACGCCATGTGTGAGATTCGACTTCTCTTCCAGTGTTAATTGAGCCACGAGGTCTTTCGCACGAGCATATGCTGACGCCCAACCCGACGAGGTTGTTCCATTACCGACAGCTACGTACGGTTAGTTTGTTGATTCCTCGACATGATCAAAACACTTACGGCTAGGATATACTGGTGGGCTAAGTCCGTATAGCGGTACTTCGGACTCATTGGTGTATCCTTGCGAGACTACTAGATTTGGCAACAGAGCAAAGCTCGCTGCGACGGCACTGGAGTACCTCATCTTGTAAATGCCCCGTCTTCGACAAAATGTTTGCAGCTCTCGAAATCACGCGAAGCTAAATACTCTCGAAAATTTTACATGCTTTCGCAATTGACCTGCGTCATTCGGGAAAACAACGGGCTTCCATCACGACCTCGTGACGAGCCCTCCGCAATGTTACCGTTCTCTCCAACCGTTCTCCGCATTTCGTCTTGGCGGAGAGGGGAGAGCGGATACAAGTGTCGATGGCTGCTGTATGAAGGATGGCCGACCCGACTGCGTCGTTGCCGAGAGGCTAGCCTCGGCGGCGAATTCTTCATCGCATCGCCCCGCTCTGCATTTCTCGAATGCACAACATCTCTATTCGTGATGAGCATGCTGCTTCGGTCCTGAAAGTATTCCAGAGGCGCAAAGCGAATTCAGATGCAAAAGGCAGAGAAGTGCACAGAGACCAGTCTTTCATCTGAACTTTCCAACTCGGGGGCAGGACAGATACAAACCACCGTAGCGGTCGTAGCATCGTGATGCATGGCCTGAGTACCATGCCTTCATTTAGTACGTATGTACACGACTCAGTCGTCTCCCCTTTGCTCTGCGCTATCGGGGGGCTGGCGCGTGGGACCGCTCCGGGTATCAATTGCCCGAACTCCGATATAATTTAGTGTATCCGACATGATGTCGTGCTTGAAAGCTTCACCGAACGTCGAAGTCAATTTCACCTATTATAGAGCAGCCTAGCGATATGATGACGGAACGATCCGGAAAGCCTTGGTTCAGTTCCTGGGTCTGACGCCTGTTTCAGCCTGGCAACGGCGACACCTTGGTGCCTCAGGTTCTGTCTCAACACCGTTAACACGTGGAGAGACAAGCATAACCTTAGCCGTTCCTAATTATCGGGACGTTAGCACCATCAATGCGCGAGGATACATCTTTTGTATAGCGGATCGCAGCATTCCGTGGAGAATCCTCGGGGTTGCTAGCCAATCACCATGCCGCAACGGCTCGAATGCTTGAACAATGAGCTGAGAGGCTAGAGGCAAGGGTACAGATAGAAGATTCTGCTGAGGCACTGGTCTCTACCTTATGTCCCGTTACGCGTCGGTGAGCAGAGTCCCGCGTGGGATATGCTGTGGCGCGTCAATATTGAAGGTTCTGAATCAGGTGTGCCTGCATGCTCAGGCACAACCAGCCACCTAGGTTGTTTCCACCCCCTCCAGCTGCGCAAGGCATCACAACAAGGCACTCGGCTCCTGAGACTCCGATTCTGTGTACGATATGACGTTTGCTCAATAACTATGCTTCGTCCGCTCTTGAGCAAGGGATTTCTATCCGTGTCTACCACTCACTCGTTTAGACACCACCTACTTTCATCTAGCGCTCTATGAGCAGCTGCCAGCTGGACTGTGCTTATACTATACACTCATTTCAGGCTACTTGCTTCGTTGGCTTCGTGTACAAGAATGGGATATGGCAAATCCATCCTACTGTCATTGAGGGTCCTGGCCCTCATCATAGCGTTGGGGTCGCTAGGATTAGGTACTTGGTGTAAGCATTCAAAGTCCTCGACTGAATGTATCAATGAATGTTCCTAAACGATTTGTTTAGCACAATTCATCATTCGCGATATCAATCGCCGTGGTACTGGCATACTCGAGATGGTCCAGCCAGAACCGCAGCAGGCGCAGCTTTGGAAGGATTATTTCACTGCGGTTCTAGCGGGCGCCATCAAGATCTGGATATCGATCGCCTGTGTGCGTAAATCAACTATTAGTCTATCAGAGCGTGCTAACAACGCAGGCTGCCTTTGCTTCACTCGCCGGAATTATTATCGTCTTAACGAATATACTCCAACGTATGCGCATAGCCTCACCAGTCATCATTCCTATCGAAAGTCTCTGTATGTGTGCCATGGCCGCAGCCCTCGGCGTGTCTCTCAGCTTCAACATGAGTCTCGAGACTTTCAGCAAAACACGCCTCGACACCGCTACCTCTCCAGATCTCACAAAGTTCGCGATGCTAGTTGATCTCAGCCGAGGTTACACTATCGCAGCCGGCGCAGGATGGTTCCTCTTCTTGGTCACATTCATTACGGCGACGATTGACGCATGCCGTCGCGCTCGAGAGAAGGAGAGCTGCTCATTTGAACCCACGGCATCGGCACTCGGCATGGGTCATGGATATGCCGCTGTCGTCCCACCTCCTTCACGTAGTCGCGTCCCAACTATGTACGACCCGCGTATACCATCGACTTTGTTTGAGCAAAATGCGCATGGGCGAGCGTCAGTGGGCAAAGATATTGAGATGGGGCGTGCAGACTCAGTTCTCAGTCAAGAGGGAAGGATATCGTATGAGTTTGAAAAGGAAATATCTGGGCCACTAAGTTTGGAGAAGCCATCCAAAGTGCAGCAAATGCGGCCTTCACGGCCATGGAGTGAAGCACATGCAGTACAGAATGGGGACGGAGTGATACATGCCATGTAGATCTGATCAAACTCTCGACCCTTAGATAGCTCGACACTCGTTTTGATGGTACAAGGAGAATGATCGAAACACCGAAGATTGTTGTGATAGAGCATACTTGAAGCAACGCCTAATCACGTGACCGTGTGTCTAGCGCGTTAGACTAGCGCGAAACGCATGCCCTGCGTCATCGCCAGTAGCAGCGTGGCGCGTCAAACCGCAACCATCCACTTTCCACATCCCAATCTACACGTCCCAAAACAAGATGGCCGGTTTCAAGCGTGGTGGTGCCCGAGGGGGCAGCGCATTTAAGAAAACTTTCCCAAAGAAACGTTCCTCGCCCGACGCTGATGACGATAACGCGGCGCGCGCGAGCAAGAAGACCAAGGCCGGAGACGACAACGACGACGACTCTGTACCAGTGGTACCCGAGCTCAAGACAGACGACAATGGCGATGCATATGTCAGCGTAAGTTGCACAAGGAAAGGGGAACAAAGAGAAGAACGGAGAGGATAGCGCTAAGGTGATCCTAGCTAAATACCAGCGGAAAACGACGCGTGACTGTGAGCGACTTCAACAAGAGCACACTAGTTAGTATACGAGAGTACTATGTTACTGATTCTGGAGAGACGAAGCCGGGCAAGAAGGTATGTGCTGATGATCTAAGCTGTTTCGATCCTATGTTCTCCTCTACGTGTTTAGATGATGATAGATTTACTGACGGTCACTGCACACAGGGCATCTCACTTACAATCGATCAATACAACGCTTTGCTCGCTTCAGCACCTCTTATCGAATCTGCGCTTGCGAAGAAGGACATACAGGTCTTAAGACCGGATTATGAGGCTGATCTGGGTGCAAAGATTGGGGAGCACGAAAAGGAAGAAGAAGAAAATGAAGAGAGAGACGATGAGAAGACTGCGAAGAAAGAAGAAGACGAGGATGATGATGATGATGAGGAGTAATAGTCAAACATTCTCCGGGCGCACTGCTACACTATTGTTCACACACGACTATAAATATGGTCATGCAACAGTAGTTCGGACAAGTCGAAAGACACATGACCACGGCAATGGGAACAAAGAACGAAGGCGATCGTTTCATTACGCTCATAGAAGAGCCTACGTATCGACTAAAGTTATAAACAAGAACATGTATGTAATCAGCAATGTTACTCAAGTGAGGTAACCAAACAACCTCCAGGCCGATAAACCCAAATGCATATCCGCCGATAGCTTCCCCTAGCGCCTATGTAACCTCAAGTAAAGAACTCCGAGTGGAAAACTCAACACTCCTAAACGTTCGTCGAATCCATCATTCCTCATGAACCCTCATCAGATCAACAGGAACCAAAGCCAACCAAACTCCATCGTGCCGGGGCATATACACATAAGCCATCAATCGTGCATCGCGATTCTGGAGAACACGCCACTATCAAGCTCGACATATCAATCGGCGATGCCAACTCTGAAACCCTAGGAGGGCGAGTCGAAGCTTCAAACCAAAAGACACGGAGCGAGACATCAGAGCGTAGGTAACTCAGCAATCGTTAACAGATTTGGTAGGTGTTGATTTAGCCGACAGTGCTCGCCTCCTCCTCAGCCTGACGTCGGAAATAGTCAGCATCGACTAAGGAGTTACTGAGGTCGGCAGTAGGTAGATCAGTGCCAACCCCGGAGTCGCTAGGTGGAGAGTAGTTTTCCTTCATTTCTTCCCGGACGGCATCAACAGCACGAACAATTTCTGACTGAGTTGGCAGGTCGACGTCGTGGTCAGCGGTGGCGGTCGAGATCTCCGAGCCAGTGACATCCGAGGGGTTGATAGTAGCCGTGGGCTCATTGTCTTCTTCGTCATCGGAATACACCGACCCTTCCTCGTCGATGGGCTGTTCACCACGAGCAGCAGAGTGAGCCGACTGCGCACCGTATGAGGTACGGCGGTCGTGATCAATGTCACTACCGGTCATGTACGACGAACCAGAAGCGTATGTGTACTCACTCCCTGTGCCGCCGAAGCTGGAGCGTCCATCGTAGCCTGGTGTCTCGCCTTCAGCATAGTCGCGGCTGTCAAGACTGTACCGACGCTCAGTGCCGGTCTCACTCTGTGCGTCTTCCTCAATGATATCGTGAGATATCGGCGTCGTCTCGTGCTCATCTTCCTCAGGTAGAACACCGTTTTCCTTGTTGGCGATAGCGGCGCTGGGACGACCACCCCAAGACCCCTTCCGAGAGTAATTGCTCGTCTTGACAGAGTGACTGCGGCCCAGTCCGCCAGCTTTGCTATTAGCTGGGGTCGAAGTTGCCGGGTAAGCTTGAGCTCCATTGGGCGCGTTGCCGCTGATTTGACTGAGAGACAAGATACGGCGCTGTGCTGGGTTGGCAGGCGCCCCGCGGCGAATAGCAGGGCGAGGCTTGAGCGCAAGAGAGAGTCCATTAGCTGCAGTGCTGGGAGGGGGCATAGCCCTGGCGTCTTCGTTCCCAGCTTCTGCGTTCATACGCTTCTTGAGTTTGGAAGCATTCTTCGACCCACCCTTGGTCATCATCAGAGCACGGGAGTGATCCATGATACCGTTCAAGATGCGACGCTCCAGTGCATCGGCCTTGGTGTCCATGAAGTGCAGTTCCTCTCGACGAATGTCGAGCGCAGTGTGGAGAGACGAGACCTCGCCAGTGAGGCGCACCTTTTGGTTCGCAAGGTTCTCGCGCTCGGCTTGCAGACTTGCGACGGCAGCAAGAAGGGAGTCTTTCTCCTCCTTGAGCTCTGCCATGGTCCGGTCTTTCTCTTCTTGCAGTTCAGCCATGACGCGTTCCTTCTCTTCCTTCAGTTCTTGCACAACACGCTCCTTTTCGGCCTTCATCTCCTGAATGTCCGCAAAGAGCTGCTCCTTCTGTGTCGCCTTCTCGGCCCGCAAGCTTTCCAAGTCAATCTCCAGCTGCTCCTTCTGAGTCGTCCTGCGTTCAATGAGCAGACCAAGTTCCTCGGCTTCGCGTTCCTTAGACTCATTGCCGTCGGTAATAAACTGCGTCTGCTTGGCAACGAACTCGCTCAGCTCTGCAGCGGTTATCTTGACTTGGGCGTGGATCTCGTCTAGCTTCTCAAGGTTTCCTGCCGATTTACCTGCCTCATCAGCATGGCCGAGGAGCTTGTCAAGCTTCTCATGCACCGCGCCGTCATCGTAATTTGGCGACGGTTCAATCGCAAGCAGCTTGTCGAGTTTCTCTTGCACAGGTGCATCGTCGTACTTGTCCGGAAGCTCGATAGCTGGAGCTGGCGCAGGGAGAAGCTTCGGCAGATTGGCAAAGTGCGTTTGCAATTCTTCGGAACGAGCCTTAGCTTCTTCGTTCCAAGCACGAGCGTTCTCATCTGCCTCTTCCTTGGCCTTCTGCGCGTGCTCATAGTGAGCCTTGACCAATGCTTCAATCTCGTGCAGGGCAACCATGAACTTGGGATGATACTCAGTAATGTTATCCTGGATGTTGTTGAAGACGTTTTCGACGTTCTTGATCTCGTCACGAGTGTGAGAATGCTCAGTCTTGTCGTCGAGCTTCTGCTCCTCGTACTTGGTCATGGTCTCGTTCTTTTGCTCCTCAAGCTTGGCGATGTACTCGATTTTCTGCTCCTCAAGCTTTGCGATGGTTTCAAGCTTCTGCTCATCGAGCTTTTCCATCAATGCGAGTTTCTGTTCTTCGTACTTCGCAAGAGTTTCGTCCACCTTGCTGATGACGGCTGAGGAGTCGGTCGTCCACTGGGTAGAGGCACCTTCAAATTGGGAAGTGGCACCTTCGAATCGATCATTCATACCCGCGATAGTAGCGCCAAGAGTATCGATGGTCAGACGAAGCTCGTCGGCAGTTGCCTTGGTGCTCTCGAGCATCTTCTCTTGTTCTTCTGACTTCTCCTTCATGACCTTTGCAAGTTCGTCGGCCAGGAGTTGAGCATCGTCGTACTTCGCCATGAGCGTGTTGAATTTGTCCTCTAGGCTTTCTGTGAAGCCTGCAACAATGGCGTCCTTGACTTCATCGTGCTTCTCAAGATGAAGTGCCGATTTCTCCGCTTGGTCGTTCTGGAGGCCCTCGATAGATCCGTGAGCGCGCTCGAACTCCCTCGAAAGAATCTCCATGAGTTCCTTGACATCAGCGGTGACGTTGTTAGCACCGATAGTCTCCTCCAACGTTTTGAAGGAAGCTTGGAGGCCTTCGATAGGACCGCCTTCAATGAGGTTGGTCTTGATCTCCTCTCGCATCTCATCCAAGGCCGTCTTGACTCCAGTGATATCTTCCACAAGTTGAGCAGCTTCAGCGCGACGTTCGTCGAAGTTGGTGGCGGTCTTCATGATGTCTTCCTCGTAGGTGTCCTTCATCTTGTCGTGGCTATCGCGGAAGTCGTGGATCAAGCCAGTGAGCTGTTCCAAGTCAGCCTTGGAGGGGAGCTCTTCTGGATCCGGGATCTTCAGGTCGTCGAGTTTAACCTTGAGATCGTCCACGAGTAGGGTTACAGCGTCGATGTCCGCCTTGGTTGCTTGTGGGTTGGACTCGTCATCAGCCTTGGCTGTCTTCATTTCGTCAAGAGCAAGTTTAATATCGTCGGCAATGACTTGAATGACTGTAACGTCGGCCTTCGTCGCGCCTTCATCCTCGAACTTCTTCGCGAGCGCCTCCAAGGCCTCGGATGTGGTACGTACGACGATCTCAACATCCTCCAAGTTCTCCTTGGTGACAGCAGTGGCTGGGTCGGGCAGGACGAGCTCTTCGATCTTGGCTTTGGTGTTTGCGAGAAGAGTCTCGATGGCATCAGTGTCTTCTTTCCTAGCAACACCTTCCAGTACAGGTGGTGCGAATTCCCGATCCTGCATGACAAGGACAGCAGCTTGCACGTCTTTCAGGAGTTCTTCGATAGCAACCAGGTCCTCCTTCATAGCGGATCCAGCTGCCACGGCAGCAGGTTCGGATGATGGCACTGGCTCAGCCCTAGCAGCATCCATGGCTTCGACCTTATCCTGAATCTGCTCCAGCATAAGCTCCATTCTCGACAAGTCGGCCGATTGCTGAGGAGGCAGGGTTGGTGACGGCGGGAGCTCCGCTTGCGTAGCTTCCTCAACAATTTCACGTGACATTGACTCTCCACCTGCTGCTTCGTTCGCGAGAGCAATCTCGTTTCCAGCAGGAGGAAGAGGAACATACTCTTCGACATAAGTTTCCTGCCTTACGCCTTTGAGCATGTCGATGTCGTCACGCAACGCGTTCAACCCTTCCTTGAGCGTATCCAAGATCTCGTACGATACGCTCATGTCGACAGTGTTCTCCGCCATTTTGGAAACGTCGGCCCTCAGACCATCGAGACCCTCGTTCATCGCATCCATGATCTCGCTAGTAGCAGACGCGTTGCGGTCGGGGGTGTCGAGCTTCTTGTCCAGATGCGATTGAAGATCATCGAGTCCCAATTTGAGGGCTTCCAGGACCTCCTCGGTATCAGCCCGGTTGTGTTGTCTGGTGACGTTGTCAGACTGGCGGAGAAGGTCCAGCTCTCCGCGGAAAGCTTCTAGGAGTTCTTCGTTAACGCCAGCAGACTGGAGGTTGGTCTTGATATCATCCAGTGCAGCCTTGACAACCATGATCATCTCGGCTTTGTCGTTGTCACTGGATGGCACAAGGGCATTGCCGAATGATTCCTTCAAGGCCTCCAGTTCGCCACGAATGAGCGCGATGTTGTCCTTTGAAGTAGTCTCTTGGGATGTGTGCAAACCGTCGATGAGTTCCCGAATAGCGTCGACAATGTCATCTTTCTCGGCTCCGCCACCGGATTTCGTCAGTGAGCCGCCCAAGGTCTCCCGAAGATGCTCGAACTCCTCCTTCAGTGATGCTAGCATGTCGTCGTTCGATGTAGTCGCAGTCTGCTTCTCGCCCATCAAAGTATGGAGCCCGTCAAAACCGGCTTGAAGCTTCTCAAGGATATCGTTCTTGTTGCT